TTAGTAGTTAATAACATTCTAACATGGCTTAAAGCTCACATGGGTCAATTCTGTGTAACATAGGCCCTTTAATCTAGTATTTCTAAGAGTTACTTGAAGCTGAGCTGCTGGCAAGTTGACATCTCCAATCATCTCTGTGCATGGATGTTCAACCTGCAGACGTGGGTTCAGCTCCAGAAAATGGAAACTTTCATCATCAGAGTAGAGGTACTCCACTGTCCCAGCGCTCACATAACCCACCATTTTGGCCAGCCTCACAGCATACTGTCCCGGACATAAGAGTGGTGTCATAGCAAGCTTTAATCATCTATGCAAAAGAAAAAAGAAATTAAATCTCAATTCACCTTTTCCATTTGCTCTAATGTCGATGGTGGAGCAATCGTTGCAGGAGCTTCCTCTATAATCTTTTGGTGCCTTCTTTGAATTGAGCAGTCTCGTCCAAACAGAGAAATAGCATTTCCATATTCATCAGCCAGTATCTGAACCTCAAGATGTCTTGCATGCTGGGCCAATTGCATTATGAAAATAGGCGAGCCAGGAACTTCTGTCTGAACCTGCAAAACATGTATAGATCAGTCTGAATAAAATATGTATAATATATTCTTAGATTGAAGTTTCCTGTCCATGGCTGCATTTAGGGGACAGTCAAAACATAAAATCATGCAATTTTTGAATTGTAAATAGAAATGTTCAGTTTGAAACCCATGTATAGTAAAAAAAAAAGCAAACCTGTCTGAATGAACTTGGGAAGTCATCAGCACATTCTACTTTACGAATACCCTTTCCACCTCCACCCTCTGAGGCTTTAATTACAACCGGATAACCAATCCTTTCTGCCCCCTGTAGAAAACAGATTCATGAATTTAAAGACAGATTTTCAAATGTCATTATGCTTGTTATGTTTACTCACTGCAAGCCCATCCTCTACGTCAACAATACAGCCATGTTTGTATATTTCTGAGGGAACACTGACTATATCTTTGAGATTTTGATTCTTCTCATCCCAGTTAACTCTCAGACCTTGAATAAACATAGTACATATAACACTGAACATGACCTTAACCTTATTTATCCACACCTGTCTATAATCAGTGTTTACACTACATCAAGCACTGAGGGTTATGCATCACCTGATCCACTCCAAGGGAGAGTGGGAATGTCAGCACTCTGGGCCACAATGGATGAAGCTACCTTATCGCCAAGGGCCCACATAGCTTTACTGGATGGCCCTAAAAGAAAATTAAAATAGTGTAAAAATTAAAACATACTGACAAAAAAGTCTAAAAATAAGGAATTGGGTTAGATGATACCCATGAAAGCAATTCCTGCTTTGTTCAGAAGTTCAGGAAGTTTGGGGTTTTCGGAAGCATGACCCCAACCAGCCCATACAGCCTACAAACAAAATCAAAGATACATATTATTTTATAAACACATTATTGATATATTATCCAACTCAAAAAGAAAAAAAAAACTGTATGTTTAATACCTGCACTGGAATTCTTTTTGCAATGTCTACAATGAGCTCTACATTTGCATAGTTGTTATTGGGACCACCAGGGACAGGCACGTAATGGTCAGCCATCTTGATGTATTCTGCAGATAAGATACTTACTAAACTGGTGCAGGTTTTAGATAAGTACATCAGTAAAATCATTATTTCACTTCATCTGCAAGATAGCTGATTAGCTGCAGTTATAAAGTATACATGTAATACACTGATAAGAGGTTCACAGTCACCTGCATTGGCTTTCAGGTCTTCAGGGGTCACCATGACTACAAAACGAATTATCCTTTCATTGCGAAACATTTCATAGGACCAGCGACGTATAGATCGCATACATTTCACTGCTGCAATACCATTGTTAGCAATCAGCACCTGCAAAAGAAACATAGCTTTAAAGATATTTTATCAAAATAGCTGCGTACATATAGATTACATACTTTTTCTATGACACGGCTACCACCAAACCGGGTGACAAACTCGGCAGGAGAGGCCACTGTGAAATCTCTTGGTGGATCCATTTTTCTTTGTTCACGGCCTTTTTTCACCAAATGAGGACCAGACATGCTAGGCCTAAGAAACAAGCACTTTGTCAGCTTTTACATAGGCAAAAAGACACCAAGCTTTTTAATTTACTTATTACAGCTATCACAGATTAGTATTAGTATCAGTATCATTATTATTTTATATAACTCAGTTACTAACTTCTAAAACTTGTTGCATAACAAGTTAAAATAAGACATAGATGTTAAAGCAATATCAAACATCACAATTTGGTTCACCAAAATTGTGTAAAAAAATACCTGATTATTACAATAGACCTAATAGATCCATGCAACAGACAGACATTTTGTTTATTTAATGATTATTTAGTAACACTCTAGTGAATGTCTTACTACAAAAAAACAACAACAGCTAGACACACTGTTAGCCAACCAATAAAGACCTACAAACAAATTATACAGATTTTGTCACTGAATAAATATTATTGCAAAAATATTATAGAACATACCATGACTCTGTGTTGGGCTGCTTGTAAGAATGTGTGTGGTATGGTATGGACGTCCAGCCCAAGTCAAAAAGATATAGTTAAGTAACACCTGAGATGCACCAGTCACTTTTATTGTGAAGCCTTGGTGTAAGTGATGACCTTTAGACATAACAACTGCACTGTACCATTCACTGTAGATTGCACCAATCAGCCAAATAACATGCAGTTTTACTCCTTAACAGACATGGCATTATCAAAGAAACACTCTTGATAACAACTGTGATATATCAACAAGTGCCGTATAAATATTTGTATATAATAGCAGCACACAGAGCACCATTATATAATTTGGTTCACTGAGTGCAGCGAACATATTTACATTTCCTGTAACAAGTGCCAACATAAAACAGGCTTGAATTCATCTATTATAGTTTGATACAACATTGCAATGCACAAAACAAACTCAGTACAACATTGAATCAATCTGTATTTTGCCTCCACAACACAAACCTTTGCATAAACGTGAACCAGCTGCAGCCTTCCATGTTTTAGCCCAACGTGGAGCTTTGTACTCGAAGCTACAATCAAAACAAAAAAGACCCATGGCTACTTCCTCTTTGTTACTCTGTTTCTGCTTTTCTCCTCCCACATTAAAGAGCCCATAGACCACCACACAAATGCAGACCAGGGCCAAGAATGAGAATAATTTTCTTTATAGGCTTTAGAAGCACTTTAAATACCTTACCTCTCTCTATTTTTAGTATAAAACCTAGTTTAGTTGTTTTAATAATATCATGTTGAAAACAGGATAGGATAACTCTGGTGTGACCTAGACTGACATTAGCACTCAGAGTCACTGGCTTGGGCTCTTGTTCCATTAATAGAGTGGAGGTGTTTGACAACGGGCCACAATAGGACACATCTGTTCCAAACTGTCAGATAACACACAGCACATGCACTCAATTCACTAATAACTACTTCTGAAACAAACAAGTCATCATTAATATAAGCAAGAAAATTAGGTCTTACTTCATGCTGGGAGAAACATCAGTATTTTGAGAAGATGTGGTCATGATGGAGGTGAATCGTTGAGGCGCGCTGCTTGCTGGTTTTGTGGCGGGAGGTTCCTCATCTGACGAATAGTCCTCAGATGCTCCCAGGATAAATTTGAGGCGCTCCCTGGCTTCTGGTCCAGAACAGAGCATTGGCACTTTGTCCTTTGAAGATTTACCCAGAGGTAAAGAGTTTGGCTGAGAAGGTTCTTTAGCTGAAGTGTCTGAATGCACATTGTTCATTGTTTTACTGTCCTGGGAGGAAGGCTGGGAACTGTCCAACTGTTTGCTGCTCACCGTAGAAGAGCTATAACCCAATGTTGATTGCTCTTCTTTATCAGCCATCATCAGTTACAGGCTTTGTTTAAATCATTAGAAGTACATTCCAAATAATTATCTGACACATCTTCTTTAACATCTGCTTTAACCTTAAAATCAAATTAAATTTACAAGTTAGAACCGGTAGCTCAAGAAATACATATTTTACACACACAGAAGCTGTAACATCTGAAACATATAAGGAAAAGACTGAATACATATTGTCATAAATGTTAAAGAATAAATAAATTGTAATAGTAATGTTGTGTAGATTGGAAGAGGCTATAGTGAGCCTGAAGTAAACAGCCTGTCCACAACAGCTGACATGAGAGCCCCCTGTACAGCTTCATGTGGGGTAAAGGTCACTCCTGCTGAATGGGACAAACAGCACAACATCCAAACTAAGATTTTGGTTCGTTAGGAAAATGTATGATACAATGAATTCTGACACAACTAACGCTAATTATTCATTAATAACACTATATTCAAAGGGGACAAACATGTACAAATAAACAATTCATAATTTGTCTTAATTTTGACACATGTTTGGCAAGTGTTTAGTGAATACAAACAGATGAACTCAACAAAGTCAATGTTTTCTGTTTATTTGTATTCTGGGATTGGGGAACAGGCTATAATTATTAGGCTGTCAAAAGATTATTGCCAAATAACATCATAAAACACTCATTACAAGCGTTTCACCATTTATAAATCTAAGTACTGCATGAGACTCGCTACACTTTGCTCTAGGGCACATTTGTGCTAACAGGCTAGCTGTAAAGGAATCCCCTTGAATGTTATGTTTACACAGACAGAAATTTTGAATTAAAACTAATAGTTCGTTGCTAATTTACTGATGAAACGGAAAGGCCTACAGAAATGCAATGTAGCGTTTGTAAGCCGTTTAAAAAGGAAAAGCTACTAATTGTAAACATGACAGCCACCTACCTACCACAGCCTTTCCTACAGCCCCTGTTCCACTCCCCCGTCCTCCACTGCAGGGCGCCCTCTCACTCTAAACATGTGCAGGGTGCAGGGGGCTGCCTCCATCCCACCCCTCCTCCACACAGCACAGCGGCACAGGCGATACAGGAGTAATCACTCTTTTATTCAGACTTTTACCGATATCATCAAATATCCAGTCATTATCAAATGTACGTCACACATTTAAGGCAAAAGTAAAGATGAGTATGTTCTAATTTATACCAACATTGTTTTCAATACACCACCTTTATGTTTTGTCTGATAGTCAAGCTTCCTGTGTGTTGTTTTTAATTTGTTTTTTTAATTTGTTATTTTAAATGTATTTATTTTTTGTGTTCTAATTAAAGTTGTTTATTAGTGTTTAAATAGTTTAAATATGTTTATTTTTGTATTTATATTTGCACACTTTGTACTAAGCAGCATCTTCTCCCAAACCGATCTTCGTACTTCCTGTTCTGTGTCACTCTCGCGGCAAAAGCAGACCGCGCCAAAATAGGAAAACAACGCGAATAAGGGGCAATCCATCTGGGTTACTTTTACTCTCAGTAACGTTAAATGTCCAGTTAAACACAGGTGTATGGTGCTGTGTGGTCAAGGTTTAACTTGTGTGACTGCGCATAAAGCAACATGGTGCTCCAAAACAGTGGACGATTCAAAGCTGACCGAGGAGGACAAAGTGGCGGAGATCAGGAAAACCAGTATGTCTATCTCCTCGTTTGTCATTATATTGTTTACAGTAGATTATCAGGTGTAGCACATACGTTTACAGATTTTTGCTCCTTTTTCAGCATGATCAGATGCACTGTTTCTAAAACTGATCGATGTAATTACATTGTATGAAAATCTCTTTTAATTAATGCCTGAACATTTTCTTTGAGCTCAGTGCTGTTAAATCCATTATGCATAATGTTGCATGCCTTTCAGTATTGCAATGGTGATAGTAATGCATTATTTTTGTTCTACTAACAATACTTACTTAGAACAAAAGAATACAATTATAACTTAAGTGAAAGAATCAAACTTGTGATATATTTACTTTTGTGATACATTGTGCTACTGTTTTTATTATAATTGTATGCACATCTTCATAAAATATAGAATGGTATATGTTTGGATGTTATTACAATGCAGTGTTTTTTCTTAGGGATGATGGATCGTCAGTGTCAGCTATCAAGAGGCTTGAGCAGAGCCAGTTTACAGATGAGATGGACTCTCGTTTTGGCTTTGATAGAATCCAAGAACCAGGGGAGAAGACTGGCTGGCTTATTAACATGCATCCAGTAAATTAAAAGTGGTGTGTCATTTATGGCCTGTCGCTAAACGAGACGATAACAGGCTTTTGTTTTACTTAGACTGAGATCCTGGATGAAGACAAGCGACTCGTTAGTGCTGTGGACTATTATTTCATTCAGGAAGATGGGAGCAGGTTTAAGGTGCACACACAAAGGCGTGCATTATTTGTTGTTGGGAAACTGTCTTACTTATTTGCCTCCTTTCGTTCTTAGGTTGCCCTTCCTTTTAAACCATATTTTTATGTAGCAACTAAAAAGGTTAGTTGTAAATTGTAATTTACTTTCCAGACCAATACTTTGAATTTACAGATATGTGCTTTACATGCAGAACTGTGAGAGGGAAGTGATCTCTTACCTTTCAAAGAAGTTTCAAGGAAAAATGGCAAAGCTGGAAATGGTCCCCAAAGAAGACCTAGACCTGGTGAGTATACAATGTATATATTATATGCAATATACTAATGAAAACAAAAAAATTATAAACAAATAATTAATGTATGCTGATGTGTCTAGCCGAACCACTTAGTTGGGCTTAAAAGAAACTATATCAAACTTACCTTCAACACCATGGACGATCTTAATAAAGTCAGACGGGAGATTGCACCAGCAGTACGTAAAAACAGAGAGAAAGAGCAGTCCAATGATGCATACACCTCAATGTTATCAAGGTAGAAGAAATGGATCACATTTACCAGATATTTGTATGTTTTAACACCTAACACAAAACATGCTTTGTATTTAGTGCTTTGTCAGGTGGCAATGTGATGTCAGTCGATGAAGAAGCAATGGCCAAAAGTATCTCTGAACAACTGGACAACATTATAGATATGCGAGAGTTTGATGTACCCTACCATGTGCGTGTGTCAATTGACTTGAAGATACATGTGGTAAATATATACACACTAATTTTATGCTTCAAAAATCAACTAACATGTCTACTAAGATTTCCAAGTTAATTTATTCTGTTATTTTCAGGCTCACTGGTACAATGTTCGATACAGAGGTAGCTCCTACCCACCTGAGATTGTACGAAGAGATGACCTTGTTGAGCGGCCAGTACGGATTTTTATCATTGCATATTTAACATATCATATCAGTACTTGCCTTTTTCCACTTCTAACCATGCCAAATATGTTTGCAGGACCCTGTTGTTTTAGCATTTGACATAGAGACCACAAAACTTCCGCTGAAATTTCCAGATGCAGAGACTGATCAAATCATGATGATTTCATATATGATTGATGGTCAAGTATGTTTGAATGCTCTACTTATTATTTATGCATTTTGTTTTTTTGTTTGCCTTGTCACACCTGTTTGTCTCTTTTGCACCAAAGGGGTTTCTTATCACAAACAGAGAGATTGTGTCAGACAACATAGAGGATTTTGAATTTACTCCTAAACCAGAGTATGAAGGTCCCTTTACTGTCTTCAATGAAGATGACGAGGTACATCTTAGAATGTAAGCCTGTTTTGATATGCTGATGTTTTGTAACCTGTGACATTGTCTGTAGGTCGCCCTTCTTAAGCGTTGGTTTGATCACGTTCAAGAGACAAAACCAAACATTTTTGTGACTTACAATGGAGACTTCTTTGATTGGTCAGATTTCTATTCCAACTGTATATTCCTATTATTGACTGTATTGATTGTCAGTTAAATCAAGTGACTGGCTTCTGTTGGTTTGCCTGATATTTGCAGGCCTTTTGTGGAAACACGGGCATCCCTTCATGGACTGAGCATGTACAGAGAGATTGGTTTTCAGAAAGATAGCCAAGGGGAATATAAATCTAGCCAGGCCATTCACATGGACTGCTTAAAGTATGTTTTCAATTACTAACAATTCTCTTACATATTTTTTTAAAATAAAGGTTATTTCTAAAAGAAGAAATAGCTTGTTTATCTAAATTTCTATCAACATCTTTAACAGATGGGTAAAAAGAGATAGCTACTTGCCCGTTGGAAGTCATAATCTGAAGGCAGCAGCCAAAGCTAAACTAAGCTATGATCCTGTAGAGTTGGATCCAGAGGAAATGTGTCGCATGGCAACTGAGGAGCCTCAGGTACCGAGCATTTTAAAACTTTTCATAAACTGTTTCATAAACTATATTACTGGAACTGAATGCACTTGTTTTGTGTGTTTGTTTTTTTCAGACATTAGCCACTTACTCCGTGTCTGATGCAGTCGCAACTTACTACCTCTATATGAAGTATGTTCACCCCTTTATCTTTGCGCTGTGCACGATCATTCCAATGGAACCAGATGAGGTTTGTATAATTTAAATATGCATTTTATATTTATTTCACAGGATGTTGACATTTTTTTTTTTTACACTCAGGTGCTGCGTAAGGGCTCTGGAACACTGTGTGAAGCTTTGTTGATGGTCCAAGCCTTCCATGCCAACATCATCTTCCCAAACAAACAAGAGCAAGTTTTTAACAAGCTGACTGACGACGGCCATGTTTTGGACTCAGAAACTTATGTGGGTGGTCACGTGGAGGCGCTTGAGTCTGGGGTTTTCCGCAGTGACATTCCCTGTCGCTTTAAAATGGTACATGTTGCCTCAAATCATTTGTTTGTCAAGTCACGCTAATCTATATATCACATAATATGACTTGCTAAAATTTCACAGAACCCGGCAGCGTTTGACTTCTTGTATCAGAGAGTTGAGCGCACAATGCGTCATGCCATTGAGGAGGAAGAGAAAATGCCTTTAGAACAGGTTACAAACTTTAATGAGGTAGGTCTACCTTTGGGTATTAACACGAAGATGTCTTGTCAAGTAGACTTAAAATGTGATCTACACCATCAGGTTTGTGATGATATAAAAAAGAAGTTGACATCCCTTAAAGACGTTCCTAATAGGATTGAGTGCCCTCTTATTTATCATCTGGATGTTGGTGCCATGTATCCCAACATTATTCTGACCAACCGCCTCCAGGTAAAAAAATTAAAGTAACTTAGTTTAAAATGTAACATCCACCTATTGTATTCTGTTTATTCCTTTTTACAGCCATCTGCAATGGTTGATGAGGCCACCTGTGCTGCTTGTGACTTCAATAAACCTGGAGCCACTTGTCAGAGGAGGATGACCTGGCAATGGAGAGGAGAAATCAGTTAGTTTTACTTTTCAGTCATATATACAATCTGAAACTAATTAATCTATACATTTTTATATATGTTATACTATTTTGTTTAATGATAGTACACAAAACCAATGCTCTCAAAATTTTTATATCTGCTAGTGCCTGCCAGTCGCAGTGAATTCCACCGTATTCAGCAGCAGCTGGAGTCTGAGAAGTTTCCTCCATTTTTCCCCAATGGTCCTCCTCGAGCATTTCATTCACTAAACCGAGAGGAACAGGCCAAACATGAGAAGAAACGTCTGGCAGGTTGGTAACCATTAGAAACTATTGTTTTTAGATTAAATTTTTTTTTTTTTTCTTATCACTATACTTGAAACTGCAGATTATTGCAAAAAGGCCTATAAGAAGGTACATGTAACCAGGCTGGAGGAGCGAATCACCACTATCTGTCAAAGAGAGAATTCTTTCTATGTTGATACGGTCAGAGCCTTCAGAGATCGGCGATATGATTTCAAAGGACTTCACAAGGTACTTTTTGAATTCACCACTGAATACCACACAACCACTACATTAGGGTGTAAAATACTTTTTTTTAATTAAAGGTCTGGAAGAAAAAACTGTCCGCAGCCCAAGACAGTGGCGATGCAGCAGAGGTGAAACGCTGTAAGAACATGGAGATTCTGTACGAATCTCTGCAGCTGGCACACAAGTGTATTCTCAACTCTTTTTATGGATATGTAATGAGGAAAGGGTATGTCTTAACACTGTCCAGCAGTCATAGAAATTTTTTTGTTATATAATTTTCCACTTTCTTTAGGGCACGCTGGTACTCCATGGAGATGGCTGGTATTGTGTGTCATACTGGAGCCAACATCATCACACAGGCCAGAGAGCTCATTGAACAAATAGGGTGATTGTTATCATAATACTTTATGCAATTACTTAAATGGCTAATGCTAAGCCAACATAACTGCTGATGTCTACTACTGTTATAATTTGTGTGAATTTATTTTCTTAATCCCTTGCTCAATCCAATATGACGTGCAGTTACCAAATTATAATTGCCTTTAGTGTGGTTGTCTCTTTAAAATACATATATCATCTAATTTTTTTCCATTTTCATAGGAGACCCCTTGAGTTGGACACAGATGGTATCTGGTGTGTCCTTCCTAACACTTTTCCGGAGAACTTTGTTGTGAGGACAAGCAATGAGAAAAAGCCTAAGGTGACCATTTCGTATCCTGGGGCCATGCTGAATATATTGGTAAAGGAAGGATTCACTAATAACCAATATCATGAATTGGTTGACCCTGTATCTCTCACTTACAACATCAAATCGGAGAACAGCATCTTCTTTGAGGTGGATGGACCATATCTGGCCATGATCTTGCCTGCCTCTAAAGAGGAAGGTAAAAAGTTGAAGAAAAGGTACATGCCATTTGTAGAATGAGGTTGTAGTTGAAATTAAAATAATCAAAACTCCTGTAACATCAAGTAAAGTCACATTATGTTTAAAGGTATGCTGTGTTTAATGAAGACGGCTCTCTAGCTGAGCTCAAAGGTTTTGAAGTGAAAAGAAGAGGAGAACTGCAGCTCATTAAGATCTTTCAGTCGTCAGTTTTTGAGGCTTTCCTTAAAGGTACAACTCTAGATGAGGTATATGCATCTGTGGCCAAAGTGGCAGATTACTGGCTGGATGTACTCTACAGCAAGGTAAACCATTTTTTGCTTTTTTGTATTTCTATTTAAAGCCTACTGTTTTTAATATACTATTCACAAACAGGCTGCCAATATGCCAGACGCGGAGCTGTTTGACCTGATTTCTGAGAATCGATCAATGTCTAAAAAGCTGGAGGACTATGGGGAACAGAAGTCGACGTCTATTAGCACTGCAAAAAGACTAGCTGAGTTTCTGGGAGATCAAATGGTGAAAGATGCTGGTTTGAGCTGTAGATTTGTTATTTCTCGAAAACCTGAAGGGTCCCCTGTTACTGAGAGGTTAGTCTAATGTCTTTTCCATATTATTGAAAATGTCTAAATGCCATGACTGACCCTGATTTACTTGCGTTTAGAGCAATTCCTTTAGCCATCTTCCAAGCAGAGACTAGTGTGAGAAAACATTTCCTTCGAAAATGGTTAAAAATGCCAAGTCTACATGACCTGGATATTCGCTCGGTTAGTAGAAAAAAATCATCATAAATCAATGCATGAATTGTTTAATGACTGGATCTCTTGTTACAGATTGTTGATTGGAGTTACTACATAGAAAGATTGGGCAGTGCTATTCAGAAAATCATCACAATCCCAGCAGCTCTGCAACAGGTGCTCTTTTTTTTAACTATTTCCTTTTTAATGTTATTAATACTATTAATAATATAAATTATGCTTACTATAATTATAAGGTGAAGAATCCTGTACCGAGAGTCAGGCATCCTGACTGGCTCCATAAAAAACTTCTTGAAAAAAATGACATTTACAAGCAAAAGAAAATCAGTGAGCTTTTTACCAGCGAGGGTAAGAGACAGGTACGCGTCTTATTTGACAATAGTATGGATTTATGTAGTTAATTAAAATGCAGTTTATAATTTTACTGTTTCCATTTGACATGTCTTGTCAGGTGGCTCACCAGCTCTTCAACCAAGGAGAGACTCCTGACATTGAGGATTTTGGGATGCCAAAACCCATTCAGCCAGCCATTCTCATCAGTACAAAGAGGAAGCGGTCTTCACAGGGAGAGGACAGCCAGGCAGAGTCTCAGGACCTGAACCTCACACAGTCATGGAGAGAGATACTGGGTCCTCCTCCACCCATGGGATCCACAAAGGTAAGCACGGGCAAAAAGTTTTGTTGCAGAAAATATGTTTATAGATTGAAATCATATTAATAATACTTTTTTTGGAACTTTTAACTGAAGTTAGCAGGAACCCCCACAATTAGCTGTTACTCCATTGTCGTCTTGCTCAGAGTGGGCAAAAACTTTAATGCAGAATAAATAAGTATGTTTATATTTTAGGACATTTAATACGGGAAATTGGGAGTCATCGAGAAAATAAAATGTTGCATCTGCATTCATATTGTTTGGCAATAATTTCCACAAATAAATCTGCATGTAATTAATCATTTGTTAAATAGGAACAACATCTGGTTTGGCTGCGATATCATAAGAAAAAGTGGGAGCTGCAGCTGAGACAGAGAAAGGAGAGGAAGAAGAAGAGGAGACTGTTGGATGGAGAAGCTCAATCGACAGGAGGAGTGATCAGAGAGGGACCCATCACCGGACTGGGGAGTTTTCTACGAAGAACGGCACGTAGCATCTTAGACATGCCCTGGCAGATTGTGCAGGTAAAGAATTATAGAACAATGCAATCAGCAACTTCTAATGGCAAGATTAAAGCCTTATCAATGATATATTTTTCGTTCTTCACTTCCAGATTGCAGAAACCAATCACCCTGGCTTATATAAACTATGGGCTGTGATAGGGAATGACCTTCACTGCATGAAGCTTAACATTCCTCGAGTTTTTTATGTCAATCAGAAGGTTCCAAAACAGGAAGAGGGTACCACTTATAAAAAGGTATTATATATAGATTGCTTCCTATAAACATTGGTACATGATGCCAGTTACGTAAAAATGTATTTTTGCCACAGGTGAACCGCATGCTTCCGCGCTCTAACATGGTGTATTACCTTTATGAGTACACTGTACCAGAGGATATGTACCAGGAGCACATCAACCAAATAAATGCTGACCTATCTGCACCTGATATTGAAGGAGTCTATGAAACACAGGTATTGTATTTGGCCCAATATGTGGTCTTGTTTTTACAGAGCCATTTGGTAAATGTGTGTACTTTTAAAAGTTTTTAAAGCTACAATTTTTTTAGGTCCCGCTGTTGTTCCGGGCTTTGGTGCAGCTTGGTTGTGTTTGCATGGTCAATAAGCATGTAGTGCGGGACCTGGCTGACAGGGAGGCTGACACGTATGACCTGGAGTATCTAGAGATGAGATCTTTGGCACAGTTCAACTATCTGGAACCAGGTATATTCAGGGTTCCCACAGTCATGAAAATGCTGGAAAAGGCCATTTTCCAGGCCTGGAAAAGTCATGGAATTTTAGTATTTTTTTCACACAGCCACAGTGTTAAGTTATCATTAGGCTATTATGATTATTTCCAAACAACATATGCGCCTTTTGTTTAAAAGAGACTGTAATAAATGCATTGGCAGTATTTTGAGTGTTAAAAAACTATAATGCCATAACCATAAGGGGAGTGGCACACATTTAATTTATTTAGCCCCAAGTATGCTCAATACTACACATGTAGGGTGCCGTAAAGTCAAAGTTTTTTTCAGTGAAAGAGAGTGGGAACCCTGTATATTTGATAGTTTCATCTGTAATTTTAACAAGTATTACCTTCTGTACACTTGAAAATAATGATGCGAAGATGTGAAAAGTGCCTCATACAGAGAAAACACATAATTTTTATGTTTTTGATGTATTTTGATTGATGCAAGAATCTTTTCCCATTTAGGGAGTGTTCGCCATATGTACCTGTATCATCACAGCCAGGGGCAAAAGGCACTCTTTGGTCTTTTCATCCCATCTCAGCGCAAAGCTAGTGTATTCATCCTAGATACAGTAAGAAACCCTTTGATTTTTTCACTACTTAAAGGGGTATGTAACATTTTTCTGGTGTATGGCATGCCAACTACTTGCCTCCATACTATTACTGCTCTGCCTAAAATGGCTCATGGGGAAATTTAATTTATCTCCGTGAATACAAGCTCTTGGTCACCCACCAAAGCAAGGAATGGGTGAGATATTTTGAGAGATGGCTTTGCTCACAATAAGAATGTGTCTTTTTTTTTCCCTCAATGTATTTTTGACCATTTAAATACACCTGTAATTGAATACATACTAGATAGTATACTTTATACAATACTGTGGAACATTCAAGGCAACACAATATCTATGTGGAGACAAGCTGGTGGCAGACCCCCACCTGAAAATCTGAAAAATGTACTTTTAATATTGTCCTTATATTTATAATGAAATATCTATTAGGTTCGAAGCAATCAGATGCCCAGCCTGAATAACTTGTACAGTGCTGAGCGCACTGCACTTCTGGAGAAAACGACAGAGGAGCTCCTTCCACCAGAGAAACATATCTTTGAAGTTCGAGCTGAAAGTGATGTCAAGACCATCTACCGCGCACTGCAGCGCATATTGTTAAATTACAAGGTAATCTGGGATCATTATAACTGAATATATAAGTTAAAATGTGTAATACTAGAAATACTCCTTTATAATAGGAGGAACGTCGGGGGCCCACGCTCATTGCAGTCCAGTCAAACTGGGACTTGCGGCGCCTGGTTGCAGGGATGACAGTGCTGGAGGAATTTCCTGTTGTTCCAGTCCATGTCATAGATGAAATCAACTATAATGTCCTTGACTGGCAAAGACATGGTGCCCGACGCATGATTCGCCACTACCTCAATCTGGACAGCTGTCTGTCACAGGCCTTTGACATGGCTAGGTGTGTGCTGGAGTGCGTGTGAGTGCGTGTGAGTGCGTGTGAGTGCGTGTGAGTGCGTGTGAGTGCGTGTGAGTGCGTGTGAGTGCGTGTGAGTGCGTGTGAGTGCGTGTGAGTGCGTGTGAGTGCGTGTGAACCTGATCCACAATAACACTTACATTATCTTGTGTCATCAGATATTACCACTTGCCAGTAGGAAATCTGCCACAGGATATCTCTATCTTTGGGTCTGATTTGTTCTTGGCAAGACACCTTCGAAAGCACAACCACCTGCTATGGCTTTCACCCACCTCCAGACCAGATCTGGGCGGGAAAGAGGTTGACGACAGCCGCCTGGTCATGGAAAGTGATGACAGGAGCTCAGTAGAAATCAATGCACAGGGATGTTACTCCACAGGTATGTGTGTTACAGGTCAGAAAGCCAAACTTGGAATAAAACATTTAGAAAATCTTTTTTCTTCAGTTTGTATAGAGCTTGATTTACAAAGCTTGGCAGTTAACACCATCCTCCAATCACAACATGTAAATGACATGGAGGGTGGGGCCAGTCTGGGTGTAAGTTTTGACGTGATCCAGCAAGCATCTTTGGAAGACATGATGTCTGGAAACCAGGGAACAAGTGCATTGGCAAGCTACGACGAGACAGCACTTTGCTCCAACACTTTCAGGTTCAATATGTTTGAACCACAGATAAAGTGCTTTCATATTGTGTATATAATTCAACATTCTTCTAATATATTGCATGTGCGGACAGGATCTTGAAAAGTATGGTGGTAGGATGGGTCCGGGAGATCACACAGTACCAAAATGTGTACGCAGACAACCAGGTGATGCACTTTTATCGATGGCTGCGGTCCCGTAGCTCTCTGCTCTATGATCCTGCACTGCACCGCACACTGCACAACATGATGAAGAAGGTCTTCCTCCAGTGAGTGCTTTGGTCAATATTTAAAAAAAAAACCACATGTACTTTTATGTATTAAATTTTGAGTGCTGTATGTAGAATAAGGAGATTACGTTGAACACGCGATAACCACTTCTGATTTTAATATTTGATGGCTTATCTACTGGCATTGTGTTTTTGTATCTTTTATTAGCAAGTTTTCCCTGTCTGTTTTCAGGTTGATTGCTGAGTTCAAACGCCTTGGCTCCACTGTTGTTTATGGAAATTTCAACAGAATTATCTTGTGTACAAAAAAGCGAAGGATTGACGATGCCATAGGTTACATTGACTACATAACAAACAGGTTAGTCTAATGATGTAATCTTATTCTAGTTTTGTTGGCATCAATGTCACATTTGTATTTACCTATAAATTATGTAAAAATAAAGCAAAAATAAAGCAAATAAAGTCTTATATTTGCTTTACTTGCAGCATACACTCCAGAGAAATCTTCCACTCTTTGTCGATTTCATTTTCTCAATGTTGGGAGTTTTTGATGTGGATGGACCCAGCCAATTATGGAGGCATAAAGGGCAAGTTGCCCACTAGCGTCTTATATGGCGAGGTACTTACCTGGTAATATTTAGTTTAACTTCATCACTGATTTGTACTACTAATAAATCTCTATTCTCTTTTTTTAGGGGGGAACCAAGCTGACTAAAGCTGAAAAACAAGGAGAAGATGACAGTGAGGATGAAGAGGAGGAGGGTGCAGAGGAGGGTGACCAGGATGGAGAGACAGATGAGGTTGAAGATCTGATTGAGAGCAACTGGAACATAATGCAGTACCTTCCTCAAACTGCCTCCTGCCAGAAATATTTTCTGATGATTGTTTCTGGTATAAATATATACAATTTATTTATATATAAATACATTTTGTATGTATATGTGTATATGTGTGTGTGTGTGTGTGTATGTGTGTATATATATATATATATATATATATATATATATATATATATATATATATATATATATATATATAAAATGCACACGCACACACACATTGTTGTTGTTTTATTTTATATCCATTGATTTTTCTACTTCAGCTTACATTGCGGCCGTGTATCACAGCATGAAAGAGGAGATTCGGCGTAATGCGCCTGGAGCCACACCAATAAAACGTCGAGGTGGAAGTCAAGTTACACAGCAAACTGTTGGGGACTTGAGTGCTCTTCCTGGTAAGTTTTGCTTTTTTCAAGATGTCAAGATCACAAAATATTTTTGTTAAAACATAATTGTCACCCTCTATCTTATTATTTTGTTAATTTTTCTCAAGGTTAAATCTTTTAACTCTTGTTAAGAAAATTATGGGTGGTTAAGTTTTTGTCAATTTTTACAACTATAATATCAAACTGAGAACTGTATGGTAACTTGTTTGGTTTATATTTTATAGCTCTTGTTTTTATGTTTACCTCACAGCTAGGGGGCCCTACAGCTCCTTTTGCACTTGTTACATGTGAGGAGAGGCGGTGCACATGAATATTGCACTGAATAAATCTGCCTACTAAACTATAAATCTACTAAACCTGGAGTTATTATTTAGACTAACAATATTGATGCATAAACACCTATTTCTTTGTGTTTAGGAACCATTTCTTTCTCTCAAGAATACGTATCTGGCGAGCTTACTCAGAACATTTTTACCATCACTCAAAAAATCCAGAAGAAAGTGACAGGAACCAGAAATGTGACCCAGCCATCGGAGATGTTCCCAGTTTTACCTGGTTCTTATCTCCCACTAAATAACCCAGCTCTGGAGTTTATTAAATATGTCTGCCAGGTACAGTATATAACACTCAGTCCTCAATTTTATGCTTACATAGCTCAAAATCTGTTTCTTAGAGATTTTCCTCTGTTTTGCTCAGGTGTTGTCATTGGATCTCAACATCACCAACCAAATGAACAAATTAAAAAGAGATCTCCTGCGGCTTGTGGATGTGGGGGAGTTTTCTGATGATGCCCAGTTTCGTGATCCCTGTCAGTCCTACGTGCTGCCAGAAGTCATTTGTCATCACTGCAATTTCTGTCGAGACCTTGACCTCTGCAAGGACCCTTCTATAGCCCAGGTAAGGCTCCTCCAGTAATGTTCTATTAATTTTGTTTCCACTCTACCACTTCCCCTCTCATGTCATGAATATAAACCTTTCAGGACGGGTCAGTCTTGCCGCAGTGGTTTTGCTCAAATTGCCAGGCTCAATATGAGACAGAGTCCATAGAGATGGCCCTGGTGGAGGCTCTGCAGAAGAAACTCATGAGCTACACACTGCAAGACCTGGTAAAGTACTTTGGTATCACTGTGTTAAGATAACAATTTATCTTATATATGTGTATATATATATGTATGTATATATATATATATGTGTGTGTGTATGTGTATATATATATATATAGATAGATAGACACACACACACACACACACACAGTCTCTGACAAAAGTCTTGTCGCTTATCCATTTTGTAGAAACAAAAGCTTATAACTTGACTTTAAATTAATCGATTGGTTTTAGAAATGTCTCATATGAAAGCTAAAACCCTCCCAAATTATGCTCAATAAACTAAAATAAATTTGCTTCACTGAAGAAAGATTGATTATTTAATGAACACAGAAAGGTCAGATTTTGGCAAGACAAAAGTCTTGTCGCCTACAGAAAATTGAACAATAATTTACTTCAAATACAAAAATATGTTGCATAACGTCAGTGAATTAAGTAGTGGTGCTGTGAGATCCATATTTAATATCTTGTATGATTTCCATGAGCTTGAAGGACTGCATCCATGCGGTTCAACAATGATTCATACAATTTGTTGATGAAGTCATCAGGAATAGCAAAGAAAGCAGTCTTACATGCCTCCCAGAGTTCATCAAGATTCTTTGGTTTTGCCTTCCATGCTTCCTCTTTCATTCTACCCCAGACATGCTCAATGATGTTCATGTCTGGTGACTGGGCTGGCCAGTCCTGGAGCACCTTGATCTTCTTCACCTTGAGAAACTTTGATGTAGAGGTAGAAGTATGCGATGGAGCACCATCCTGCTGCAAAATTTGACCTCTTTTATGGTTGGGAATGTAAGAGGTAGCTAATACCTCTTGATATTTTAGGATATTGATATTGCCTTCCACCCTGCAAATGTCTCGCACACCCCCATACTGGATGGAACACAGACCATGATTTTTACGCCACCAAACTTAACTGTTTTCTGGGTGAATCTTGGATCTATGCGGGCTCCAGTAGGACTCCTGCAATATTTGTGGCAGCTGTGGTGTAATTCAACCGAGGATTCATCTGAGAAATCCACCTTCTGCCACTTTTCCAGTGTCCATCCTTTTAGCAGGCTGTGGGCCTTGGCAAATTCCACACGGTTTTTTAATTGCCTTTTGTTTAGTGCTGGTTTCTGTGCACTGATTCGACCATAGAGGCCATTTCGAGACAGAATTCTACAAACTGTTCTGGTTGACACAGGGACTTGAGGTGACCAGGCCTGGTGGAGCTCTGCTGCAGTGGAAAAGGGGCTGGCCTTGGATTTTCGAATCAACAAACGGTCCTCCCGAGCAGTTGTCTTGCGGGGTCTGCTGGACCTGGGCTTGTCAAAAACATCAGTCATTGCAGATCTTTTTCTTATTCTTTGTACTTGACGCTGAGAAACATTGAAGGTGTCAGCCACCTCAGCAGTGGATCTGGTCTTCAGCCTCTTGATAATTAACGCTTTGGTCTCAGGGTGGATCTTAGGCATGTTGTCAGAGTTCAAGTTGCAGTTGATGTGAAGGTCTGGTGTGCTGGGGTTCTTTTTATACACACCCACTAACTGACTGATCAGTATCTGATCACAGATGAGGCTGTAATCTAGGATTGGGTGCATCATATGACAAGGCGACAAGACTTTCGTCTTGCCAAAATCTGACGTTTCTGTGTTCATTAAAAGATCAATCTTTCTTCAGTAAAGCAAATTTCTTTTAGTATATTGAGCATAATTTGGGAGGGTTTTAGCTTTCATATGAGACATTTCTAAAACCAATTGATTAATTTAAAGTCAGGTTATAAACTAGCTATATATATGTATGTATGTATGTATATATGTGTATGTATGTATGTATGTATATATGTGTATGTATGTATGTATGTATATATGTGTATGTATGTATATATGTGTATGTATGTATGTGTATGTATGTATGTATATATATGTATGTATGTATATATGTGTATGTATGTGTATGTATGTGCATATGTATATGTTATATATGTATGTATATATGTATATGTGTATATATGTTATATATGTGTGTGTATATATGTTATATATATGTGTGTATATATGTTATATATGTGTGTGTATATATGTTATATATGTGTGTATATATGTTATATATGTGTGTATATATATGTTATATATAATATATATGTATATATATATATATATAAAATATATGTTATATATATATAAAATATATGTTATATATATATAAAATATATGTATATATATATATATATATAAATAATATATTATATATATATAAAATATATGTATATATATATAAAATATATGTATATATAATATAAAATATATGTATATATATATATATATATATATAAAATATATATGTTATATATATATATATATATAATATATATATATATATGTTAATATATATAAAAATATATGTTATATATATATAAAATATGTATATATATATTGTGTGTGTATATATAGTGTGTGTGTATATATGTGTGTATATATACACACACATATACATATATACACACATACACACACAAATTATATATAATCAAAAAATAATTTCTTTTTTAGGTTTGCAGCAAATGTAAAGGAGTGAAGGAAGCCAACATGCCTCTATATTGTAACTGTGCTGGGGATTTTGAACTCACTTTCTCAACAAAGGTTTGGCATGCTACCCTTTTAGTCTTATAATGTCTTGTCTAACCTATTCTAAGTATGATGTGTGTCCTTTAGAGTTTCTCAGAGCAGATCACAGTATTTCAGAACATTGCGTCCCACTACAACATGAGCTTCTTGGGTGAGACCATCGAATGGCTGCTTGCTATGAGTCCACATTTGAGTCAAAAGACTCAATAAAGTACCATCTTGACACCAAGATATGAAAACCCATATACTGAAATTGCGTTGTGTTACACTAAAAACATGTTCAATGATCAAATAAACATACTGGGTACATTTTTGTTTTTTATTGTGGGCATATTTCTTGTACAGCAACATCAGTTATAAATCATATGTATGAGCTCTTTTAAATGAGACAAATTCACTTGGAAACATAAATAAATATGCGAAAATTAATACTGCGATTTGTGTTTGTTGACCTTGCTCATTATCCATCATTATAACATTAGTTTGATTGGTTCAAAGCCTCTGAGATGGAAGTAATTCAGTATAATAATATTTCAGACTAAGGCACAATTAGGCTCAAGCAACAACAAAAAATAATTTTGAGGCAATTAGATTTATTAGGTGGTAAAATGTATTATGTTAAGCAGGTTTTTAACTTTAATGTTAATATTAGACTACCATTTGGCTATAGTGCCCCTTTTCTTTTGCAGTATAGATGTCAATCCATTAGTCTTGAATCATGCACTGTACACCACTGAGGATCCTGATGCATTCACACTTTCCCACAATCGTGTTAGAGAAACCCATTTGATGGGAAATGTTGCCTTTATTTGATTACTGCTCAGTGCTGCTGATGTGCTGCTGATGTGCTGCTCCTCTAATCCACCAGTATATCTCAGTGAAAACAAATTTAAATAATTTCACTATTACTTTCTGAATAGAGTTCAAATTTACCGAGATATACAAAATTATTTAGGTTAGATTAAACCCTAACCTAAATGTTTAATTAACATCAAAACTATATATGTTTATATTGTCATGAAAATACAATATCATGAAAATGATAAGCATTATAAGGCAGTATTACACCGTACAGTATGGTTTGTGTTGTACATTCACTGTTACAAGATATGTTTGGGAGTAAATGCTACAACTAAACTAGATCAGCAAAAATGATTATATATTATCTGTGTATTTGGATGACAGGCAGCTATTTCCAGTAGTTCTATTTTAATCCATACTCTTGTCTCTTTTCTCAAAGAGGACATGATTCAAAAAAGCTAGAGCTGAGCCAAGTGTTCAGATGCTACAGCGGGACACCATCCGAGAGGTCTGAGTGTGTAGAGCCATAGTCGACAATGTATCCAAACCCTGTGGAAATATGTTGAATGGGTTCTTTGGCAACCTAAAATCACAAAAAAGATTTAATTGAGCTAAATTGATTGTATTGTATTGAGTTTTGTGGCTTTTACTCACTTCATCAAATTTTCTTTCACTGTAGACTTCGTTCTTGTCAATAAATGTAAGCATAATCCAATCACAAATAATTGAGCACTAAAAGAAGGGGGGGGGGGGGGGGGCAGGGCAAAGTAATGCTTTCTTTGTAAAATAAACATACCATGAGTGCACAAGTTTAAAGAGACGGTAATAAGCTTACAATCCCAACTGATGTCATTGCTGTCACTATGCTGATGATTGTTGGAACAAGACTAAATTTTCCAGCCTGCAAGAAAGAAAATGGGTCCCCTTAATATCATATTTCAGATGGTTTAAATTATTAAAGTTCTTACATGTCCGTGAACTATGACATCCAGACGGATACCAAAAGCTTTGATAAGTGTCCTAGACTCTACCCTATCTTTGCTGTAATATTTGCCAAACCTATAAAATATGAAGGTGTGGTAAAATATCCATAAAAAGAATTTGTGTACTGAACTTAGATGAGTGTTCATATTTCACCTGTAGTAATAGCCTGAATCCGATAAATCTTTCCTCATATCAAGACGGCGAAAGGCGTATGTGGGTTTACAGTTTGATGCATCCAAGTCTAGGTTACACTGCCAGTTAATGAACACCCCAATCACTCCACCCTAATCAGAAAGGAGTGGAATTTTTTAAATCACTTTATATTTTGACAGAATTTATTATCATGCCATAAGATACTGTTGATTGTACTTACGGTAAGGCAAAGCTCTTTAAAATCCTCCCTTGCCTTATTAGCAATGTATCCCAGTTTGAAGTTTGGACAATAGGGCTCTTTCTCTTCGTCATAATGGCACTTTTTCAGGTATTTGCGCAGCATGGTCTTGTTTTCAGCATGTTTTGTGTTCCCCCTGGCAAGTATTGAATATATTTATTTCAATAGATATATTCAGAATGCCAATTATGCTGCCATACTAATGGGAGCATACCTTAGTACTTTGAATTTAGGGAAGAGGATGGAGTTCCTGATAAATACAGTAAAATTGATGGCCTCTACTAACGCTGGTTCACTGTGGAGGATACCAGAGAAGCTCTTGTTTCACAGCAAGATTGTATCTGCATCAGTCCTGTATTGAGCGTTTTAGGTCTGTTATCAGATCATTAAAACTGACTGCACTCACCGCACTGCTGCATACTCTTCAACAGGGCACCAGGTCTGGATTTCACAGGTTTTAAATGTGTAGTTATAGTACCACACACATCTCCCTGTCCTTCTACCTACCAAACAAAGAAAAAGTATATTATATATAATTGGCAAATACACAGATGCATCTGTGGTGTTAAAGCTGTACCATGGCCATTAAAGTTGATCTCTCCCTCCACACAGTCTGAATCTGATGAGCAGTTGGCATTGTCAACCTGGTGATACTAAAAGGAAGAAACACTTAGGTGTAACTGATATTCTTTATTCAATTACATGATTTCAGCATACAGCCAGTGGTCAATTTAAAGAGATAATTTGTAAGACTTTCACCTCTGCACAGATTCCTTGCTGTTGATCATATGTGACTTCTCTTCTCAGTATTGTACTGATCACATCCCCACCCTGAATCCAACAAATAAACTTAGCTGTTGATATAGGTTACATGACTGTGACATCATAAGTTAGAGCAGATAAACAAACTGACTTCAGATGGTCGGGCATACTCTGCAGTGTCCAGAATGTCATCACCATGAACTGCGATGCCCTTCATTATTGTGTAAACAGAACTCTCTGGATGAGTTTCAATCTCTTGATAGGCTTTCTGGCTTATAAAAACATACCTATGGCATAAAACAGCAACCTCAAGAGACTTTCTTTTTGCACAAATATAAATGATCTCTTTGAGGTTACACTGTAGTTATTCAGCTTGTTTAGTTGAATCTTAAAATGAAATTACATAACCAAACATGGGTGCATATAAAATGAGTTAGTAACCAAATGATTATAGTATAATCACAATCTTGCCACTATCATTATCTGAGCTCCCAAACCAGGTTTTACATTTTTACAATTAAGACAATCATAGCTGATAAATGCTTTCAGACTTACCAGATAAAATATGTGATGACAAGAAACTGAACACCTCTGTAAATAACTCCAAGAGTTCTGTTTTTAACCACCATAACCTTAGGGGTCTCATAGTCCCAAAACCCTAAAAAATACTCCTTAATAAGCTCCCGGAGCCCCATTATAAAATTGTGAATAGCTCCGCACATGTTGAGCAACGAGATTTCTTCACTCTGTATCCACTTTCTTCATTCTTTCTCTGTGTCTTGTCCTCATGTACACCAGCAGCAGTTTTACAGTGAGCACATCTCTCCTCAGCATCACTATCACAAACACAGAAGGGGGTGGGGCAGGTTCATATTTTCTTCATCCTTTCCAATTCCCAGAACAGCTATTATTCCATTATAGTAGCCTCGGTCATGGTCTGCTCTAGTCAGATTCTTTTTAACAGTTTGACACAGTAAATTAGGGAAATTCAAGTTCAATATGGTTTTGCTGCAACATTAAGACTGAGCTTCTCAGTCGCCATTGTGTCTCATTCAAAGGTCTCAGTGCAGAATAACAAGAGGACCGGTCAGGTAAGGTCAGTAGATCCTGTGTCAGGGCAGTTTGAGAAAAGGAGGAGCCAAAAGTGTCCCTCCTCTGTGTCCTTCAGCCTGGGCATCACAACAGTGTTCTGGGGGAACCAGGTGAACCCAACAGAGAAGGCCTCATTCTTACTCTGCTCTGGTGTTTGGATTGGTGAAGAAATGGTTCATTACTTCAAAGTGATTCCTCTGAAAAGTCTTGGACTATTTCCTCTGGAAGGTCTTCTGCCACATTTGCTACCACATATGGGGTAAAAAGCCCTGTAGCATCTCAAATGTCCATAGCTAACCTGTTGCAGTCTCCATGGGGAAAAACAAACTGTTCTTTTCACACAATCCAACTGTACCTTTTGTTCATTCAAAGTATTTTAAGATATTCTACCACATTTGCTGCCACATATGATGTGAATGAGTGGTTATAAGGAGAATAGCAGTCAAGTGTCAGGTATGAGTCTATAGTGAGACAAAGAATCACCAAATCAGTGTTCGCCATGTCATAGATAGGTCTACATACCACACACCTGTTAATTGTGATGACTGGCCTGCAGGATGGATACAAAAGCATGTCCAAAATCACTAGCCTGACAAACGACTGACCAACGACCACTCATCACTCACTCAACACCAAGTCTACATCATAGACTATATTCAAACAGGCAAGTGGGTGAAGTGTTTGGCCCAAGGACACAACAACAGCATGAATTTACAGCAGAATTCGAATCACTTATTTTCTAGCTGTAAGGTAACAGTTATATCATCAGTCGTGTGGCTTACACGACTGTTGTTAAAATTAAGAAAGAAAGAATCCAGCGCACTTAGTTGATTTTTCTACAGGCGACAGGAGGGCAGCCTTAGGCAGGGGTCCTGACTGTTTGTTAACGTCAGTCCACACGTGCTCTGGGGATGTGGTGGTAGCGAGCGGCTTTGCGGAATTAACAGTCGATTAACTAGTAATTACTTTGATTAGATGTTGGGTAAGATTGTATATTGTAGCATAGTAGTCGGAGCATAGATTTCTAAATGGGAGGGCTTCAAAAGAAAAAGGTAACCCACAACGTTTTTTGTTTTTTTTACTCGACTGCTTAGCATAGCGTGGTATAGTAACTAATGTTTTTTCTCACCTGTTGTAATTTGTGTCCTATGGCATAGACAACTATTTTGTTTTAATGTTTTGTTTTAAATCCATATGCTGTTTCTGGTTTTAGTTTGAGAGGGGGTCTGCCACTAACTACATTACAAGAAATAAAGCTCGTAAGAAACTACAGCTGAGCCTCCCGGATTTCAGGTATGGTAGCCTAAAACAAAGACAGATATTAAGTTAAATGCACGGCTCAAGTGACTGAGCTTTATTTTACTATTTGTCAAAACATGGGAACACATGTTTTGTACACTGAATATATTTTGTGTCTTTTTCTCTGCAGACGGTTATGTATCCTTAAAGGGATATACCCACATGAGCCCAAACACAAAAAGAAGGTCAACAAAGGTTCAACTGCACCTAGGACGTTCTATTTGCTTAAAGACATACGCTTTCTGCTTCACGAGCCCATTGTTGGGAAATTTAGAGAATACAAGGTAATTAATAACTGGAAACTTGTATTTAGATCCATCATCAGTATAGTAGTTGTAATCTCTGCAAAACGTTCTTGTTCCACAGGTATTTGTTCGAAAACTAAAGAAGGCATATGCAAAAATAGAATGGTCAGATGTGGAAAGATTAAAGGAGAATAAACCAACCTACAAATTGGACCACATCATCAGAGAAAGGTGAGTGTCATACTTAATAGCTACAGGCACTGAATTAAAATCACACTGTTGTGACTAAAAATCAGCCTTATTTTGCTAAGTTGCTAAGACTAAACTTGCTCTTATTTATGCTTTTCAAACTGAGGAAAAAGTTTCAAGAGTTCTTCTCCAAAGGTGCTACTGAAAGCATTTTGTTTTTCTATACAACATTATACATGCAATACAATACATTATTTAGTTTTATTTCGCAGTCAGTTCCAGGCTTTCTTTTTAGATTGTCTTGCTTGAAATTTATTTGTCATTGTCTGCAGATAAGTTATATTTCTTTTTTTGTTGTAGGTTCCCCACCTTTATTGATGCCCTCCGTGATATTGATGATGCACTCTGCATGTGCTTCCTTTTTTCTACGTTTGCACGAACTGGAAAGTGTCATGTACAAACCATCCAGCTGTGCCGGCGGCTTACTGTGGAGTGGATGAACTATGTGATCGCATCTCGTTGCCTCAAAAAGGTGACCATGTCGTCAGTCAACATGACTTGATGATTTGGTATTACACTTCACCATTTCTGCATTTGACATTAGTCAGAACTAATGATTGTTTCTGTTCCGACAATAGGTTTTCCTTTCGATCAAAGGAATATATTATCAAGCAGAGGTGATGGGGCAGCTCATTACATGGTTGGTACCATATCAGTTCTCTCATGACGTAAGTACACACTGATTAATGTAAATTGCCGAGGGAGAGCGAGAACACACTCTACTGGGGGAATAACCCCAGATAACCTTTGTTTATAGCACCCCACAGATGTTGACTACAGAGTGATGGCAACTTTCACAGAACTCTACACCACTCTCCTGGGCTTTGTCAACTTCAGGCTGTATCAGTCTCTTAATTTGGTTTATCCACCAAAGGCGAGTTGCTTCAGTACCCTTCTCACAAGTTATTTAATAATTTAAACAAAAATATCCAATTAGGGGCAATGTAGCATATCCAATTAATTGTGATTCATGCTTCAATTAAACGATTGTGCAGTTGGACAGTAAATCTGAGTTGGAGCTGAAAGAACAGAATGAGGAGGACTATGCCATGGATTCAGAAAGCTACTTGGAGGTAAAATTTTCGTTTAATTACAAAATAGATTTGAAATAATGTAATAATTAGGTATGTGGACATGGAGAAATGTTGATACTTGCTCTACAATATTAATGATAAAATCTTCATAGTATATCTTTTTTTTCTTTCTCTGTGTGAAGAAACTGTCTGCCTTAAGTGCCAGTCTGGCTCGAGTGGTGTCTTCAGTTGAGGAGGAAGAAGCTCAACTGGACCAATTTCCTGCTGAAGGGGCAAGAGAACTTTTTTGCAAACACTTTGTAAAAAGGAAAAATTAAACTTTCATATCGACCTCCTTAGTTTGTTTTGAAATGTAGACCCAAGTCATATCTGTTAGATGTGTGAGACTAGGGATTATTGCTCCATGTTTGGTTGCTAAGACAAGTTTCCCAGGGAACAGAAACACCCCGTTGAAACTTGTTTTACCCTACAGATTTAAGCCTAAAGTAAGCACAGACTTTCTTGGAATTCATAAATTTACAGTATCTCTAATTAAAGCCTCTGTTGGCCCTTATGCCAAGGCTAAGATAAATACATTAAAAATTTCACCAAAAAAATCACAGTTAAGTGAAGGAATACAAACTCTTGTGTTTGACTGATTGATAATTAAATTTAGTAGTTGACAGTACTGACTTTCTAACATTATAAGGCAAGTCCCTCAAGTCAGAGGAGAGTTTTAGCCTGCCTGGGAGCTTGTTCCATTCTTTAACGCCCTTGAATAAGAAGGCTGTTTGTGCAAAGGCTGAGGTACACCTGGGTAGTCTGCAGTCATTGTGATTTGTGGACCTAGATGTTCTGGTGGTCTGCTCAGTGCAAAGCTAGACAAATCTCTAAGTGGTGGAGGTGTAGCATTGCTTAAAATTCTATGTATTAATTGCACATCTGAATACACAATGAAATTCTCAAAGTTTAACATTTTATATTTTGTAAAGGATTTGACTATACTGATGCCATAGTGCTTTCTTATAACTTGCAACTTTTTAATGGGCCATGTCATTTAATTTAAACTCTGTTCTAACATTGTTTTGATTATGTTTATTTTAGGAAGACATAGAAAATATGGAAGCCAGGGAAAAGGAACTCAAACAGGAAGAAAAGACAAAAAAACTCTTTGAAGGTCTAAAATTCTTTCTCAATAGAGAGGTTCCCAGAGAGTCATTGGCATTTGTCATCAGGTGAGTCGTAGCAGCTCAAGTAATTTACATTACTAATTCTAAACCAGTTTTTTCCCGATACTCCTCAAGGGCTTAAGTAGCTTTAACATTTATTTATTGCTTCTCTTGATAAGTCATCTTAAAAAGCCAAATGATACTACTTATACTAAATGTATGTGAAAAGTGATATAATTTGTAGACATAGCCATGTAAACTAATTCAAACAAACCTTTAGTTTTATAAAATAGCTACTGTATAATCACTCTGCCTTTCAGATGCTTTGGGGGTGAAGTTTCTTGGGACAAATCAGTTTGCATTGGAAGCACATATGAAATGACAGATGAAACCATAACACATCAAATCGTTGACCGGCTAAGTATTGATAAACAGTATATCAACAGGTATTTTCTACATATTGCAAACAATTCTCACTTATAGAGATGTAGAAGTCTACACCTTTTTTATTTAAACAATGTTGCCATGTATTGGGTGTTATTATCTTGTTCTTTTTTACAGATTCTACATCCAACCACAGTGGGTGTATGACTGTGTCAATGCAAAGATCCTTTTGCCAGTAGAAGACTACTTCATTGGAGTGACCCTACCACCACATCTCTCACCTTTTGTGGAGGAGAAGGAAGGGGATTATGTGCCTCCAGAGAAGCTAAAGATTATATCTATGCAACAAGGACACAAATCAGGTATTAATGAGTTTCAGCTTCCTGTTTATAGGTGACATTTTGAGGACTTTTGACCAGTTAAAAGATAATCTGTTTTAATTGTTAATTGCTATAGCAATGGTGCTATTTTTTCATGGATTTTGAGATAGGCTTGATGAATAGCTGTACTCTGAGTGTTGCTCCGGTGCAGAGGGGGTGGGGCTCACGTGAGCATGTGCATGTATATGTGGAAGTGTGTAAAGGCAAGCATGCATTCTTGATCTCTTTACCATAGCCTCTAAGTACATCATAAATATACAGAATCAGGACCCACTCTGGGTCTTCATCATCCCTGTGCCGTCACGAGGTTGGTTTAGGATTGATAAATGGTCCCTTTATTATTTTTCCACCTTCAAGGTACTTAAAGATCCTTATGTCAAGGAACCATTCTCACCCATTCATACACAAATGTGCAGTAACACTCGTGACTCACCACGTAGACTAGGGAAGAGGAACCTATTGATCCTAAAACTATTTACATTTACACAAAACATATTGGCTTTTACTAAGATTCAGTGTTCAGTGGTAAACTTTTTGGCTATATAGGTTTTTATGTTTGTAATGTTTCTGCAGTGAATGAAGATGAAGAGAACGAAGATGAGGACAGTGACGAAGAAGAGCAGGAAGAAGAGGATGATGATGAAGAGGAGGAAGAGAGGAGGAAGAAGAGAACCTAAAGAAAATGGAAGAGCAGAGATCCAAGGGCAAAGTAATACAGTTCCATTAAGTTCTTTAATAATGCTTTGTAAAAAGAAAAATGTATGTACCGGTAATCCTTACTAGTTAGTTGTCTGCATGAAGTCATTACAGGTGAAAGTGACCCCTGGAAAAATGAAGGTGGAAAATCCAGCACGCTTGGAACAAGAGGAAAAGGCTGAGGAGAAACGTTTGGCCATCATGATGATGAAGAAAAAGGAAAAATACCTCTATGATAAAATCATGTTTGGAAAGAAAAGAAAAGTCAGAGAGGTCTGTTTATTTTTGTTATTGATTTACTTAAGGACTATACTGATATGATTCATATGAAACCCTATGGTGAGATAAGAGATACCTTACAAACTCTGCAACTTTTTCACCATTGTTAACATTTAATGATTTTCCTTAACTGCATAAGGACATGCTGGTAGCCCAGTTTGATATCTACAGTTTAGTCTTTTCCCCCCAAAAATATAGAAATAAGCCTAGCTTGTGAATAACAAAATCCTTTCTCCTTTTGCAGGCTAACAAGTTGGCAGCCAAGAGAAAGGCTTATGATGATGCTGAAAAGGCAAAGAAGAAGAAAGCCAGAAAATAAACTGTTGCTAGGTTCACATTATCCTGGATATAAACATGTTTGCATAGGCTTGTTTAGAGTGTCAAACTCAAATTCACAGAAGGCCAAAATTAAAAAGTGGGACTAAGTTGTGGGCCAGACTTAATATTTACTGAAAAAATTTCAACAACATCTGCATGTTTTCTCTTCTTTCAAGATATGTAATGTTAAAACTTTTCTTATTAAAATAAATGTTTAATAAGAGTTTTGCTTAAACACTGAATCCAGAACAAGCATGATATAAAATACAAATTACAAAATTCTAAATAATGTCTCTATAGTCTTATCTGTAGCCGGCGGGCCAGCTCTAATGCATATTTGATATGATCTCGCGGGCCAAATATAATTATGTCGCGGGCCAAATTTGACGTGTCTGGGTTAACTGCTTTGTCAAGTTGTATTGTAAAATGGATCTATGTCACCAGTAAATAACTGATTATTAACTTTTTCAAATGTCAGCTAGCTTTGCAGGTTTATATAAAAGAACTTTCAACTCTTACATTATGTTTGACTTTTATATATAATAAAATATTCTCTGAAGTGGACAGGGTGGGTGGGGGTTCCTTGTAGGATTGGTCCTTACAACATAATAACGATACAGGCTTTTGTTTTTTAATGACTCTGACCTTGGCCTGCACACATCTCGCTTTTCATTGAGTCTTGAACAGTGGACGCCTCTCCCATTCTGCATTCTGTGTGCCCACCCAGTCCATTCCTATCCTGGCACAGCACAACAAAGCCACAGTGTCATGTCTGAACATGACAAGTGGGAAGGGCAGCATTAATCCAGTAATGTTTCTCCAGGAACCTCAAATCTGTGTTGCTCATGTATAGTTTCCTTTGTTTTAAAATACAATTCACGATATTCTTCATTTTTAAACTTGGCTGTGGTATATGCTAGAGACATTGATAATATACTTTGCATCCTGGTTATTCTGGTGATATTCAGTTATTTGGTCCTGTGCTTGTATACTGCTTGGTAAGATGGCATTTATAATATTACCACAGACCAGTATTAATCAAGGGGTACAATTACCATCTTTGTTCTTAGGCCCTTTGCATAGATTCTTTTATGCTGTATTCACCCCTCCTATCAGCTTGCAACTTGGACTCCACTGTCTGTACTCAATAGCCCTCTGTATGAAGACACAGAATGGGACCATACAATCTCATTCCCATCCCTCCCCTTTTTACACTTGCTCTGACAAGTGTGTGTCCCTTGATGAGGTCTTTTACGTCACAGGTAGGTTGAAGAGCCTCCCTGCTGTGCTTAATTCAGCAAACTGACTTCAAACTGCAAGGGGAGGTAGCGGTACCGGTCATGCTCGCTGCGAGAGTAAGTAAGAGGAGAAGACGTGCCAGATGACTGAGGTCTCTTACACAGGACATGTGAGACGGCTGGCAGTGGCATTGAATCAGCTCCAGCCTCTATGCAAGACCACAATCATGCCCAAGAAGATTTTAGAGGTGTATTATTCCTCTTAAAATGTGCTCAGATAAGGATTACTTTAAAACTCGATGGATCTGCTTGAGGTATGAGCACATTTTCTATAATTACATAAATGGTAAACTATGCTTGAATTCCATTGTACTATATAAAATGGTGTGATGTCTATACATTTTCAAATATGTAATTGCCAAACTAAAAGTAAAGTCCTTTTTGCTTATAAATGTTTACTTGAAGTTATATAGAACATTAAGGGCTATGAAAGAATAATTGTAAGAAAAATAAGTGTTGTATGTAGCTATGCATTGCAAGATCAGTATTAATAGTGTACTGTTCTTGCTATAAAGGAAACCCTAATTGGGTTAATCTATGACATATCCTCAGGTTGAACATATGGATTGCTGAGTCAGCCTGTGGCTCATCTTACTTCCATCTGTGGAGAACATAAGATCACTTTCCACTCTAATGAATAATTTATTTAATGAGGCAGGTGAGGAAAAACAAGAGCAGAGTAATCTTCATTACATGTAACCAAAAAGCATCTTAAGAGGTGTTAATATAACACTGCTTTATTCTGTTTTAGGGTTTCATATAATTGACAGAACAATGACATTGAAAGTGAAGCACTGGAGGTCGATGTGCAAAGGGCTAGTCCTGGGTACAGTCCTGACCAGCTGCATGATCCTGCTGTACTGCGTCTCTATGCCACAAGTCCACATCAGTTTGCCTGAGTAAGAATACAATGTGTTACATTACGTCTGCTGAAAGACATGTTTTACAGTTTTCTTTCTTTTTTTTTTTTTTAAGAGTGCCTGTGCCTTATTCCTGTGCCCATCGCCCATTTCATGTTAATCCCAAATTGACTGGTAATACCTCTGAGCTAAGTACAAGTCAAACATGCCCTCCCAAAGTAGACATTATGTTCATGAAAACCCATAAAACAGCCAGCAGCACTTTCCTCAACATACTTTTCCGCTTTGGAGAGAAACACCGGCTCAAATTTGCTTTCCCAAATGGTAGAAATGACTTTTTCTATCCTTCCTTTTTTGAGCGGTCCCAAGTCAAGGACTATAGACCTGGAATGTGTTTCAACATTGTTTGCAATCACATGCGCTTCAGTGCACCTGAGGTGTCCAAGGTGCTCCCAATGGATACTTCATACATCACTATTTTGAGAGACCCAGCAGAGCTTTTTGAGTCTGCTTTCCATTACTTTGGGCGAATAGTACCTTTCACCTGGAAGATACCAGGTGATGATAAGATGACTGAGTTCCTACTCAACCCTGCTCACTATTTTGATCCACACGGATTCAACTCTTTCTACCTCAAGAATTTGCTGTTTTTTGATTTTGGATTTGACAACACACTAAAAGTGGCTGATCCTCAAGTAGAAGAAGGAATTAAATCTATCAGTGGCCGTTTTCATCTGGTCATGTTAGTGGAGTATTTTGAGGAGTCTCTCGTTTTGCTTAAGGACGCTCTCTGTTGGGATATGGATGACCTGGTTTTCTTTAAGCTCAATGCGCGCAAAGGATCCACTGTCTCCAAACTAACTCCTGCACTCAGGGCAAAAGCACTTGAGTGGAACGCCATTGACTGGAAGCTCTACCAGCACTTCAACAAAACCTTCTGGGCCAAAGTGGAGTCATATGGACGGCAGCGAATGGCCCTTGATGTGGCTGAGCTCAGGAGAAGGAACGAGGAGATGGCAAAGATCTGCATTGAAGATGGTCAGGCTGTGGAGGCAGGCCGGATCCATGAGATGGCCATGCAACCCTGGCAGCCCATTGGAGAGAAATCCATCATGGGCTACAACCTGAAACACAATGTGGACAAGGCATATAGAAAACTGTGTCGAAAAATGTTGACGCCTGAGATACAGTACTTGACAGAACTTGGTGTTAATCTGTGGATCACCAAACTGTGGGGACATGTTCGAGATATCATAAACTGGTGAACAGCATTGGAGAGATCAGTTGAATGCAGGTCTGGAGAGAATAAACTGAAAAACATTGCGATTCATCTAATTTCAGACAGTGACAGGGTTATGATTAAAACAATAAGTTGTTACATTGTAACTGTTAATACTAGTTTGTGCTTTTTTCATAATCTATACAATTGAATAAAATTGTTACCATGAACATGCAAATCTTACATAACATAGTTGTCTTGCATAACAAATTCATGTGGTATGCTTTAATTTGCTTACCTTATGCTTTTGCAGTCTTTCTTCTTAGTTTCTACTGAAGGCTGTACCAAGTGGTGAAGTTTCTTGAGTGCATCACATGTGCATTTTAAACAATGAATTTATATATTTGTTTGACTATTACACATCGAGTTGTTTAACCACTGAAATCTTATGTATGTTTAAAGGTACCACTATGTGAAACATGTATGCTTTTGAGGGCTGCTGTCAACTCCCTAAACCTAAAGGAATGCAGAGATACTCCAGGGAAGTTTCAAGGCGTTACCTGTTCAACATATTATTTGCATATTCATATGGATTTCTATAAAATCTGATTTGAGGTATTCAGAGGCGTCCAGATTTGCCTGATTTAAGACCTGTGTAGCCGTAGGCGGTCAGGGGTAGTGATCTGACCCAGAGCTCTGTATTAGAATTGTATTGTTTAGGGAATAAATTCTTTTTGATTTTAATCGATCGATTCCAGTGGTTATTTTTAAGAGAACACGTTTAATGGATTTTGAAGATACCTAAAACTACCTTTTATATATACTATGCTATGCTATTATGCTAATACCATTGTATGCTCTCAACCAGTATCTAATCAGGCCCGTCGACCGAAATTTGGGGTCAATTCTGATGTGTAAGTTTACTCATTCCATTCTGCCCTGGAATTGCTTAAAACTGCCTGTGCCAAGAAAATGTTATATTCAGTGTCCCAAGTCCTTTTGTTTTCTTTTTTTTTTTTACAATATAGTGTGTTCCTTTTTATGCCTTACGATATGTACATGTAGTCCTCATATTATTTAATATGTTTTCTCTAAACATAAGGGCCTACAACAGAAGTGACACTATTGAATGTGATGTGTACTTGAATGTCTTGATTTATCTTGCTTCAATGAATACATAAAACATGCTTTCGGTTGGCGCTTTACTCGTTGGGTTAATGAACATGTGCTTTTTTTTTTTAAACGACAACCACGAGCACGGTTAAAAAGAAAAAAATACGTGTGTCCTGCCCAACACCACACCTGGCCATCTTTAGCGAGGAACACTTCTAGACTGTGTCCCAATTCAAAGGGCTGCGAAGGCTGCGAAGGCTGCAGCCCTTGAACTGGCCTCCGCGGACGCCAGGCCATTGTGGAAATGGGACAGGTCTAGCCCTCGGAGACGCTCCCCCGTCGCCCAGCAACCGAGGGACGCTGCTAGAGCTAATGCTAATGCTAACACGCTCCGCGCAGATTAGGCACACGGATCAGTAAAAAGAATACGCACAGGTCATCAAACTGTCGGATTTTGTGACCAAATTATTTTAATAATTCGCATCCAAATCTTATGGCCAAAAACGAAAATGTATGTTTAACTTTTGCAAAACAAAACGGCTATATTTAAGGGATACATCTTAAATAGACTAAATTATCTTAAAGTTTACAAAAACTATGATGAGATATGCATTACTAAATATTATCATTATTAAGGATTTGTAAAGAAAGAAAGACATCTCTCCTGAGAAAAGCTGGTTTATTAAACAATCCAAGGAACTTCTGGAAATACTTTATCATAATATGAAGTCAAATATTAAACCCATTACACACACTCTGCATTAACAGGTTAGTACAAACAGCTGTATGTCAGTAAATCTCATTGTGTTCCCTTTTTGCTGAAGCAAGTGACAATCAAAAATGAACAAAATATCTTTGCCAAATATGATCATGTGGAATACCACTGCTTATCTGCAGTACAATAGTACATTCTTATAGTACATGTAATTAGTTACTATCAAAAGAGACATCAAATAAATGGCACATTTCACCATAAATCAAATGTCAGTACAGACTGAAAAACATTCAGAAAAACTTATGAGCAGATGTTTTCATTTCTGTCTCACTTGTTCAGATCATATGAGACTCTGGACCTCCTCCTCAGAGACTCTGGACATGGACAGTGGAGACATGGACAGTGGAGACATGGACAGTGGAGACATGGACATTGGAGACATGGACATTGGAGACATGGACATTGGAGACACGGACATTGGAGACACGGACATTGGAGACACGGACAGTGGACTTGGACCACTCAGTCTGATGTGTCTCTCGTCTTCTGGAGGAGGAAGAGCAGAATGGGTGTTAGGTCTGATTGATTCAAAGTTCTGTCCTGCAGAGTGAAAACCTGTAATGACACACACATTAAAAAACTACAACACTATAAGAGGAAAATAAGTTTCACAGAGCATGCAGCCCCAAAGAACACCTGGACTCCCCCCCCGCACTATTTACATTTATTATTATTTATTTATACGCAAGGGAGTGAGAAAAACAATTCTTTATATGTTTTTCGTATGAAGAATTGACAATAAACAATTTTAACGTTGAACTTAAACTTTGATGTACATTCAGATTCAAAGGCAGTTTATATCTGAAACAGCTAAATGAATAGAGGAATCCCACACATTTGAGAAATGCATATTTTCACAATTTAAAATCATAATTTCAACATGAGCATGATTCATTTGCAGCTCTTATTATTAGTAGAATTTTCAATGTAACATGCCCCATACCTAATTGTTGGCAGGAGTCTGGGTCAGCACCTCCAGCTCAGTGTTGGCTTTACTTTGTCATCTGCATTTGACCCATTTTATGAATCACAAGCATCTTGTCAGCCAACAGTTCTGTGGCCCCTGCAGTGTGCTGTGTTCTCATACTGGAGGCTGCAGATGAGAAAAGAAAATTCATGTAAAACAGATTTCTCATTGTTATAACATTAGATGTGACAGACTTAACAGACACCAGTGTCTGCACAAATCTGTTAAATGAGCCTCATGTCCATCATAAATCTGACCTGTCCAGGCAGGATTATTTACTCTTCACTTTACAAACATGCACGGATTGTTAAAAGCAGATAATGTATTCCCTGAATGAAATGCACACGTTGGAGGCATATATTATGTTATTTACAAGTAAATATGAGCTTTGATAGAGTCAAACTGAGTCTTTTCAGTTGAATGTATGAAATAATGCGTGTTTTCATCTTAACTCCGAGCTACACTGACCAACTGTTTACATGTTTACACTGTCCGTGAAAACGTGGAGTTTTCTCCTCGTAGCTTCTTTAAATCGCTGGGCTTCTTTTCCCCTAACAGTAAAAACATCATTAGTGTTTGATGGAAATGTGTCCAAATATGAAAGTTTGAGCGGATTTTTCATCGCATTAGCTGCACATCACTAGGCAAACTTTAGCTCAAAACTCCGCGGTTCACGCAGTTAAAAACAAACTTATTTGACAGTTTTGTGGGAGTTATGGTCGTACTTTACGTTTACAGTTGTGTTAGTAATGATTTCCTAAAGTTAAAAGTGTTACTCACATGTTTTTCTCCGCTCTCCAGACGGGCTTTTTGCTGCGTGTTTTCGCTCCGTGTTTTCGAACAACTGACTGCCGCCGCGCGGTGCATGCTGGGATACTGAAGGCTGCGAAGGATACTCGGATGTGTCCTCCGTTCGCGGTCCCATCTCCATGGAAACGAGGCCGGTTTTAGGGCTGCATTTGAAGGCTGCATGACATAAAAATGAAATGGGACCATGGATCTAGTAAAATAACTGGATACAGTATTACTAGCTTGTAGCTGCCTCGAGTTGACGTAGTGGCCACTCAGTGGTACTACAGCCGAAAAAATCCCATGGGCCGAGAGAAGATTTTTCTCATAGAGCGCAATGTAATCACAAACTGCTCGTGTTCGGCTGACAGGGCACCTACAACTTTCAAAAATGTCGGATTTTGTGGCGATTTTTACCTAGTTTTAGATCATAAACTTTTTCTCGCTCAAAATCCTTCAGTTGTCTTAAAAAAACGCTTTAAATTCGTTAGATCTGCTCTCGTTCCTCTCACTCTGATTGGTCAAAGCGATCACGTGATACACGAGCCCGCGCTCCGTGCGTGTGGTCGCGTGCATTCGCGTGTGCCCGTGGGAGAAAAGAGCACTCCTGCACATGCTCGGTCGGCCCACAGCCACCGAAAGTACCTAGCCGGGCTAGGCTAATCTGGGATCATGCGCCATTGAGCTCAGCCCATTGACTTGAATGGGCGGCCATTTTGGAACCTGGGGGCTTGCTTGAATGGGACAGGCCTTGTTTCACCGGAAGTGACGTATGCGGCCTTAAAACCAGCCTTCGGAGGCTGCAGCCCTCGAATTGGGACACAGCCCTAGAGTACCCTCTGGCGTAATGGCTACACCATGCAGTGTTATTTTAATAGATCCATGAGTGTAGTGCGTGAGGTGTTCTGCAGTGTTATGCAATACACCATCCGGTATATAAGAATACCATTTCTCATGGTACTTTGTCATTTACTTCAGGCTTTTTATGCCTGTAAATTATTAGATATTTAAATTAAAACTGAGTCAAACTTTGGCACTTAACGTGTAGTGGTAACTTTAGTTTGAAATGCTACCCAGTCGTGTATGGATTATATGACAATAAAACCACTATTTGCTATGCATTATTGTTTTATCTTGATATGTCTGCTGTTATTTATTGCAATCATAGACTTATGTATGCTTATACAGTGTGATTGGTTCTGTTGACTGTCAGAGTTCTGTAGCCTACATTAAATTAACTAGTTTGGATTATAAAATGTTTCCTAATGGATGAAATATGGGCCATAAATAAAGAACGTGAAAATAAAATAGTTGCTACTGGATCATTGCTGTCACCTAGAGATCAAACACATGGCATCCATCTGAATATATTGGGCACATAAAAAGTTATTTGATTAAATCACAGTGATTGCTAGTTTGAGGTACAAAGCATGAACTTAATTTTCTTATAAATTTATCATAAATGTGTTTCAATTTAACTAGCATTCGGTCTTGTAGACCTTATAATATCATATCATATAAATATCGTCTGTACATTTAAGTACTTCTAAGTAGTTACAGCATGATGTAAAAATAAGATGTATTAATCATAACTATATTTTACAGGCATAGATCCATGGGTTAATCTATAACCTGATTTATTTTATTTTTAAGATCAACAGGAAGTCTCAAGTCTCAGTGCGGGGGCGTGGCCGGGCGACTCCGATGGCAGCCGCTGTTATGCTAGATTGTTACTACATGTTCATGTAATTTGTGCGAATACAGAATAACACAAGTATGGAAATGTTTGCGGAATATGCAGATTTCTAGTTTTACCTGGGCAAAATGCGCAAATACTTTTAGATTTCAACAGCTTGGCTCTTCTGCAGTCCTACTCAATTTAGCCAGTTAGCTAGTAAGGAGCAGGAGGTAGGAGTTTATTTTACATCGTATTGTCAGTATATCTTATATTAAATTTTGTGTAGGCGTATGTGCAATCATCAGCTCATGTGACATTGTTTAGCTATTTGCAGGGTTGACATTTGTTAGAGCTGCGCCCTGGTGATGACTGAAACATTTTTGGATGCGTTCACGATCCACGATGAGTTGTAAATCTACCAAAGTTGCGCCTAGTGTAGATTTTGATCACAGTTGCTCTGACAGTGTGGAGTATCTGACCCTCAATTTTGGACCTTTTGAGACTGTCCATCGTTGGAGAAGACTTCCTCCTTGTGATGAGTTTGTAGGCGCCAGGTAATCTTACAGTCTTACAATCTTAGCATTGATTAAGGAAAATAATTGGTTTTCACCGATGATTCATTATTTCTTTTTAGACGAAGCAAACATACTGTTGTGGCCTACAGAGATGCAATATACGTTTTTGGTGGAGACAATGGGTAAGAAACAGTAAATCATTACCCTGATAAACAAAACATATGGCCTAACATTTAATAAGTGATGCAAAGTTTATATGCAGTACTGTTACAAAACATACTAATGGCGTAGTATTAAATGTTTTGTCAGTGCCTAAAGTGAAAAATAGTAAAAGGCTTATGTACCAATAGGAAAAATATGCTAAATGACCTACTTCGCTTTGATGTCAAGGACTGTTCATGGTGCCGGTAAGATCACATAATGTCTGTTTTTGTTGATGGTATTTATGTGTCAAAGTAATGTGCATTACTTTTGTAGAGCTTTTACCACTGGAACCCCACCTGCTCCCAGATATCACCACTCTGCTGTTGTGTATGGAAGCAGCATGTTTGTCTTTGGTAACTTTTCACATTAAGTAGTTCAGATAAATCTACTTGATCTACTTTTTGGCTTAAACGTTTCCTTGTAACATTTAATCTTTTAGGGGGCTATACTGGAGACATCTATTCCAATTCAAACTTGAAGAATAAAAATGATCTTTTTGAATACAAGTTTGCCACCGGGCAGTGGACTGAATGGAAGGTTGAAGGAAGGTAAACAACACTTTCTGTTTGTTTGCAACATTCATTTTTTGGTGAAATCCATTTAAAACAGTTAGCCATTTTCAGAAGTGACTTAACCTCTTGACCACAGATCCAAAGTAAACACTTGTCTGTTATGTTTGTAGCTTGCCCGTGGCTAGGTCTGCACATGGAGCCACAGTTTACAATGATAAACTCTGGATATTTGCTGGCTATGATGGAAATGCAAGGTATATTATAGTTTTCATTTCTCTATCCCCATAATTCTGTTTTAATTATTTTTAGTTCAAATTTTTTGTGTTTAAAGTTTTTCTGTATATATATATATATATATATATATATATATATATATATATATATATATATATATATATATATAATTTTTTTGTGTGTGTTTAGGTTGAATGACATGTGGACTATAAGCCTTCAAGACAGAGAACATGCCTGCTGGGAAGAGGCCAGTAGAAGTTTTATAATGATTTTACTAAAAAAATAAAATAAAATAAAAAACATTGTTACTTTATTATTGGTGTTTACTCTCTACAGATTGATCAGAGTGGAGAGATTCCACCATCTTGCTGCAACTTCCCTGTTGCTGTTTGCCGGGACAAGATGTTTGTGTTTTCTGGTCAGAGTGGAGCCAAAATCACTAATAATCTTTTCCAGTTTGAGTTTAAGGGACATATGTGAGCTGCATTTCATTTGGTATATTACGTACAATAATATTTGTCTCCTGATTTACTACTTTTAATTTGAACTTGTCTAAGGTGGACACGTATCCCAACTGAGCACTTGCTGCGGGGCTCACCCCCTCCTCCACAGAGGCGCTATGGTCACACCATGGTTGCTTTCGATCGGCATCTCTATGTGTTTGGTGGAGCTGCTGACAACACCTTGCCCAATGAACTGCACTGCTATGATGTGGACTCTCAGACCTGGGAAGTAATTCAAGCCAGTATGGACAGTGAGGTGTGTATGTAGTTAGGGTAGTCCTGCACAACTTTTTCAGATAAAAACAAGCTATTCTCTGTTGCACTGCAACTGTACAAAATATTTTATTTTGTGTCATGTTTACGTTGTCATCAGATGCCCAGTGGAAGGCTGTTCCATGCTGCAGCTGTCATTCAAGATGCCATGTACATTTTTGGTGGCACTGTGGACAATAATGTGAGAAGTGGAGAGATGTACCGATTCCAGGTTTGTGTTTCTCGTAAATGTTTTTGATTTAAATAGATTTTTTTAAACTCTTTCCAGCAATCGGATATTTTCAAATGCTTTTTCTTGTTTGCAGTTCTCATGTTACCCCAAGTGTACGTTGCATGAAGATTATTGTAGACTTTGGGAGAATCGGCAGTTTTGTGATGTAGAGTTTATCCTTGGAGAGGTAAACCTGTTATTAATTCAAATTTCAATGATGCAAAAACACATATACAACTTTAAGAAAGATCAAACATTATTTTTGTGTTGTAAATTGCAGCGGGAACAGAGGGTTTTGGGACATATTGCCATAGTGACTGCAAGATGCCAGTGGCTCCGGAAAAAAATTCTACAGGCTCGGGATAGACAGCGATCGGTAAGACAGTTTAAATGATTAAATGCATTTGAAATTATTACTATCAATTAGAATATTATGTTATATGTAGAAAAGTAAGCAGGATAGTGAAGAAACTGATGAGGGGGCAACCCATGGTCCAAAGGATATCCCTGGTGGGAGCCGGCTGCTCGAGGTTCACATCAGAGAGGCAGAGGCCCAGCCCTTTGAGGTCCTGATGCAGTTTCTTTACACTGATAAAATCCAGTACCCACGTAGAGGTATACTTACAGATCAGTCTATGAATGTGTTGCTTTTCCCAAAACATTCAACTTCTAGATCTAAATAAATCTTTTCTCCTCTAAAAGGTCATGTGCAGGATGTCTTGTTGATTATGGATGTGTACAAGCTCGCCTTGAGTTTTAAGTTGTCCCGTTTAGAGCAGTTATGTGTGCAGTATATTGAGGCTTCTGTTGACCTGCAGAATGTTCTTAGTGTCTGTGAAAATGCTAATAAATTGCAACTTGACCAATTAAAGGTAAAGCATTTTTTCTTTGGACATTGTAATCAAATGACTGTTAAATCAAAATCACTAATACACTCATTTTCTGTGTATAGGAACATTGTCTTAATTTTGTGGTGAAAGAATCTCACTTCAACCAGGTGATTATGACAAAAGAATTTGAACATCTGTCCACGCCTTTGATTGTGGAAATCGTTCGGCGCAAGCAGCAGCCCCCTCCTCGGGTTTATTCTGACCAGCCAGTGGACATTGGTACATCTTTGGTGCAGGACATGAAGGCCTATTTAGAGGGTGGTGGTCTGGAGTTCTGTGACATTATCCTACTGTTAGATGGACACCCTCGGCCTGCTCATAAAGCTATACTGGCAGCACGATCGAGGTAGGAATTACCTTGGCATACAAATGAAACTTAATTGCTGCTATTATGAAAATGTACATTTTCACACTGAATTTAATGCTTAAAGGTGCAATATGTAACATTTTGATTGGGTCCACCTTCTTGCTCCTATGGATATGTCATCACTCTACCTGGAATGTTCTATAGTATGACATTAAACAGCTATACCTTACATTTATTAAATTACAGGTGGTTTTATAGCTCAAAAATACCCATGAAAACAGGCGTTCTGGCTCACAGTCAGAATCTGACCTGTGACTTAATCTGGTTTGGTCTCCATGGAGATACAGTAGTTTAATACCATACTGTGAGACATTCCAGACAAAGCAATAACATCTCCAAGGAGAAAAGCATTTGATGAACCATCCACCAGAAAAGTAAAAAAAAAAGTTTGTTTAAATCAAATCTGAATGATAGTATGTTTTTGTCACAGTATTGTACTTTGTCTCAACAGCTATTTTGAAGCCATGTTTCGCTCCTTCATGCCTGAAGATGGTCAGGTCAATATATCCATTGGAGAGATGGTTCCGAGTAAACAGGCTTTTGATTCCATGCTGCGCTATATTTACTATGGAGATGTCAATATGCCTCCAGAGGATTCTCTGTATCCTTCTCCCTCTGAATTTAAAAAAACATGATGCAGTTGATTTGTATTTGAACAATTACCATAAATGCATCCGGTATTTCTAAGCGTAAAGATTTTGTTCAGGGCAGTTTATTTATAGAAATATTTCAAAAAGGCTAAGACAAACAATGTACATAAAGTCTGGAAAAAATTAATATTCAGAGGTTTAAGGTTATGATGCCTATATGTAAAATAGAAATGCAATTTTTGTGATAAGCAATGTTGAAAAAAGACATAGTGGTCCTTAACTGAACTAAACAGCTATTTGTTTGCAGCACCGTATTATTACGGATTTTCCAATAACCGCCTCCAGGCCTACTGCAAACAAAATCTGGAGATGAACGTGACGGTGGAAAATGTGTTGCAGGTATTTGTGTTTTGAACTTCTTGCTTGACAATGGCATTATAACTTCATCACAGACTTCATCAGAGCCATGCACAGTATGGCGCTGGTTTGCAAGTAGTATTTTGTTGTTTTTCTACTTCAGATTTTGGAGGCGGCTGATAAAACTCAAGCTCTAGACATGAAGAAGCACTGTCTCCACATTATTGTGCACCAGTTCATCAAGGTGGGTGGGATTGTATCTGGAGCTCTTGCCGTTTGTTGCCCACTCATTGCAGCTGAGCTAACCCACTAGCTCTGTCTTCTATGCGGGATACCGACATTTTTGGAATGGTGTTTTACAGCTAGGCCGGCTGAACAAGCACCTATAACAAAATGGGACACTTTGATTATTCCTCATTATATAAAGCTTCCCAATGCTTACCCCATCTTTACAGACCTTAATCAACTTTTTGTTTTTGTTCAAACAGCACCCCTTTTATTTAGTCTGCCGATATTCTGTTTATGGTTTATTTATTTCATTTTCCTCTCCCCTTTCTAAAGGTATCCAAGCTCCCCAACCTACGATCCCTCAGCCAACTGCTGCTTTTGGACATCATTGAGTCTCTAGCTACTCACATATCAGACAAACAATGTGCCGAGATGGGATCTGACATTTAAGATGACTTAGACAAACCAGTAAGCTCTGATTCCTCTTGCTCTTCAAAGCTATAAGTGGCCCTTACTTCAGTCATTCCTTTGTCTCAAGCTGCAGTATTTTCCTTTATGTTTGACCTTGCATGTTGTCATATTTTTTAATTGATTATTCTCTGTCCTTCACGTCATAAAAACCTCAATCATAAAATGTAACATTTCTTGTAGAAATTAGCATTTTTTTTAAAGACTGCATTTATTTGCATCTCCAATTCAACATGTGTGACCTAAATGTAAGGAATTTTATGTATATTGTCTCTAAACTAAAGCCATTTATTATCCTGTTATTTGTTATTTATATTAACAGATATCGCCTATGACTGACGCTTTTTGCATTTATGTATTGAGTGACATCAGTGTGTTGTATTAAGTGTATAGCGATCTATTTATAGCCTTATTAAAACAATTATGCATTTATTTCTTGTCTCCTGATTTTACAATGACATGTTTATTTTTATAGGAGACTCAGAGCAAGCCCAGGCAAGAGCAGGGCAGGATTTGATTCATGATAGTATGACTGAAGGAAAGGTTAGATATCATCATATATACACATGTAGGACACACCCTACATACATTTTTTTTGAGACTGGTATGCACATTTTTATAGGCACTGTATTTTAAAAGCAAAACATAGTGCATTTTGTTAACAGATTAAATTAGGAGTGTGTTTTAATCTAATTAACTAATGAATTGTCATTATTAAAATCATATAATTTATAAATAATTATTTACATAAGTGTGAAATAGTTACTCTAGATTAATGTAAATTTTTACCTGTGATTCAATGACCAGAGTCTATCTGGTTTCTGCACAACCTGAAAAAGTTTAGGTTAATCCAAGACCTTCCATCAAATGAGTCTGTCCTTCAGGAGTTTCAGATTCCACAAGCTACAGATCTGACAGATAAGCCCAGACAATGACCCTTGTTAAAGATAAATTAAGTACTATATTACACAATATGTACAAAAACTATGTTTACAGAATATCTTATCACTGTCATTAAGTTTTTCCCTTCCCTTATGTTCTACAGGACCTTGTAAAGCTCTGGAAGTAACTTGTGTTGGACCTTTGTGAGAACCAAATTTCAAGCACAAAGCGCTATTCATGACACTTGATGCCTCCTATAACCGGATTTATGTTAGGGTGGTAATGTGTTTAAATAATTTGTCTTGAATATGTTTCATTTTAGAATATTTTCAGAATGTTACGGAATAGCCAATTTAATCAAAAATAGCCAGTGGAGACATCCCAGATCAGCATCAGGGCTTTTGTGTATTCAGCAGTGGCCAACTTGCTCATGTTTCATTCATTTAAGCTTTTACTTGTATGCACGCTGCACTGAATCCCTTTGGACGTATCCAGTTTCATCTAAAAACAGTCTTCCTTGTTCACTGTCCAGATATTTAACACTGAAACAAAACAGTGTGTCTCTTGTCATGCCACAGTGCTTGGCTATGTCCCTCTCATCAAGTGCATTTTTGGACTGGTGAGTGGGCTGTCCAAGTTGGTCCTGTTACGTTAGTTTTAAAAGGTTTTCTGGAGCTTCCATTTTAGTCACTGACTTGCATCTTTAGAATAAAGACTGTATGAGTGTGGCTTCATTCACTGGAGAAGATGGTTTTCCTCACTCCCAAAATAATGCAAAGAACTGCTCTATTTGTGACATTTGGAGGTTTTGTCACTTCTTTGATGACCATGTTTATACCTTTTTGGAAAACGATGAATTCAGATTTAAATGAAATGGAGAACTGGTTTTCAGGATTGTTCCACATGTGTCTCTATACCGAAGAAGTAGGAATTCAATGTAAGGCTTATGAATCGATTTTGGCGCTGCCTATGGACCTCCAGATCTCCAGAGTGCTCATGTCTGTATCCATTGGAACAGGTGCCTTTTCCATGGTGACTGCATTTCTTGGTCTGGAAGGAGTGGAGATTTTCCCACCTGGGATTAAAAGAGGACTGCTTATCTTTAGCGGGGTGCTGACATGGGTCTCTGGCCTCACTACCCTGGCCCCTATATCAATAGTGGCCTATACGACTGTGGTTGAATTTTGGGACGAGGGCTTCCCTGATGTGATGCCTCGCTGGGAGTATGGAGAGGCTATGTTCTCTGGATGGTTTGGCGGTTTTGCTCTTGTCATCGGAGGGACACTGTTCTTTATTGCTGTGTGCATGGCTGACTTTGATCAGAGCATTCAAACTGTGCCTGGCAGTCCACTGGTGAAGCAACGGACACAGAATTATCTCAAGACTGAGATGTTATAAATTGATTTAAGTTAGTTATTTTCTGTATTTAGCAGTTTTAACTATGCACTGTAGTCATTGTTTATTTTTACGTCCTGTTATGATTGCATACATCTTTTCTTTGTGTGCAGTCATTTTAAAATAATTAGTACAAAATGTACACTGGACAAGTTGCATTCCGCTACTCACCTCATTTTTATGTGATGCTTTGCTGAATCGCATAATCTTATCCATATACCAGTCTAGGCCCTAGACTTATTTACAGATGCTAACAGCGTGCTTGTTTTTTTTTTCTCATGAAGATGTGATAGATATACTGACATGATATATTTGATATATTTGTCACACCAAGGTTAGTCAGTTAGATTTGCATGTGTTGCACTCCCTTTCATTTCACTTGCATATTTTTACATGTGAAACAATTAGGTATAAGTTATGGATGAAGAAAAAACAGGCTGACCCTTCCCTGAGTACAAAGACTAAATTGTTCTTACACCTTTATTTAGGTCTGAGGTATACAACTTTTCATTTGATATATTGAACAACTGTAACACCCCATTGTAACATCAAGCATGTTGTTTTCACGCTGTTTAAGTGCGGGAATATCGCAGGACTTAATTTCTATAAAACTCTATATACATTTTAATCCTGCTTCAATCTCACCCCCTGAGTGAAATAATGAGTTACTGCATCACCCACTCCCTACTGTACATTGAATTCAGTAAACACATTGAAAAAAAAACTGATTATTTAATCTGAATCGTGTTTTACTGTGAATGACATTGTTAATATTGTCCACATTTTATGCACATTTGACATAAGTAGAAAGTATTTCAGGGGAGGGAAACAAATATTAGATGGGGCTTAACTGGCAACATTAGACACGTGGAGTCGAAGCTGACAGGGCGCGTGGGGGTAAAACGTAGAAAGAGTTGGTAAAATTACAGAGAGGAGGGGTGAGAAACTAGAGAGAAATCATGCTGTGCTAGCATCCCCTCAGCAACTCCATCAATACTGCACACAGCTGAGAAACTGGCAAAGGTCTTCTGTGCGTCCGTGCTGCATTTCCGAAACACCAGCAACTCCCACGACCGGTTTACCGTGTCCTGCAACTGGACGTGGCACAAACGAAAGGAGCACTGAGAAGCCGGTGGTTTTCTGTTCTCTTTGAAAACAAAACCAATCTCTCATCTTGCTCTGGGATAGGGGTTTCAGGGACGTGCTAATATGCTACCGTGCTCTGCGGTGGAAGCTGAAAACCGGGGAGTTTGACTGTAGTGAACCTGCTCCATGCGCCTCGACACTGGTAAGACCATTTACGCAATTCATCAAGATGGTAAATTTAATTTAATGCGTCAAAGAAGTAGTTTCACTCCATATACTAATCATAGCGCCACACTGACAGTGTTGATTTTAAATTGGCTGTTGAGGTCCAGGTAAGCATTTTCTCTGGAGAGCTGTGGCGCTGTTTACTCTCGATTTAACGCAGGAGCACTGCAGGGTGCATTAAAACAATGAAGCGCTTTAAAGTAGACGAAACGAATTAAATATATTTAAACACAAAATAATGCCATTTTATTTAATTGACGTTCACTAACTAAGGACACATTAATGTTTTTCCCCACTGGGGATTATATAGGCCTAAAATAAAGAAGGCTATGAAAAGGCTGCTCAAAAATACATACAAGTTTTCTACATCCTAACTTTGATGGGGTATTTGTTATTCAGTTTAATTTAGAGGAAAATGGGCAAATAAATTATGTAATTATATATAAGATTTATGAGTAGGCTACTTTATTTATATCCTACTCCAGTTTCTTAATGGGGATTGTAGCAAGACATAATCCATGCTTCATTCCTTTGTAGTGTGCTGCACGTAACCCGTTAAACAGCAAGTTAAACTTTATAGCAATTTGAATTACCAAAATGTATTTTATAAACTACAATTTTAAAGCCAACTTAACATGATTTGCCTCTTAATAAATGCTTTATGTAAACAAAATCTTTAACCAGTAACTACACACATCCCCAGTGAACTCAAGTCCTACTTGGTTAATTATTCTACACATATTGGAACTAGACTTCTTTGTATTTAAGTGTGTTCAAAGCAGGGATTTAAACTGTGGCAAGTGATTTAAGAGCATGATGGAAAGATGGCATCAGTTATGACACAGGGTCTCTGGACTCTAATTGTTAGACATGACCTGGTCTGACTTTACTTATAGTCTCTATTTATCTTTGTTGTCATTTTATAGTTTGTGTGTTTGGAAAGCAATAGAAAACAGTAAGCCTGAATCAGAACGAAGCCACATGGCACCCAGCATTCCTGTTTTTCAGTCTCTATTGACCAGACAGCTCATCACCAATCAGGGGCTTGGCTGTTAAATCTCCCCAACATTCCTGTAACAGGTATTACATTTCGAGGGAAGTGAGTGAAAGTGACAGCTTGTTTGTAACAAGGATTATTAGCACTGCTTGGGGACAGGCCCAACAGTGAGACTGGGATCTGCGTCATATGTTGTGAGAACCAAATCTTCTTAGCCTACTTTAGTTATACTTTGAAATATCATTCCACACTTTGGCGGGCTTTTCTAAGGCAATGTGTTGACTTTATTTGATTGTTATTGTTTAGAAAATAGATTTAGTATCTGAAACTACATCAATTAATTAATCAGTATTGAGTAAAGATAATACAAAGCTTTAGGATTTTTTAATATGTAGATGCAGAAATTATTAGTATAAACAGTTTGTCTGTAGACATAGTTTGGGTAAAGCTTTCCACTTGAGGTTGAACTTTGCAGTTCCAGTGGCCCATTCGACTCTGTTCTCTTCAGTTCAAGGACATTACGATGTGCTCAGAATATCAATCAGCCGCTTCAGCTGTTTACCCAATGGGATAATTTGGTGATGCATTGGGATTGCTCCTGGCCCCATGCACCTATCTGGTGCCTCTGTGGATCTAACCCACAGCATTAACTGTAAGAAACTGTATGTGGTGGTGAAATACCAGGGCAACATAGCAACAAAACCAGAGGAATTTTGAACATCAGGGGCCTCCTGCTTTGCTTAAGGTGGCCTGTGATGAGAATGTTTATAGGTGTCAGTGCTGTTAATTTTTAACAACTCCTAATGCAATATGCATGAATGAAGGTAATGTGTGGAAATGTTCCTAATCAACACAGGTCTTCGAGGAGGCTTTGAGAAGTATGTTTCATGCCACATGTCACACACTACATCATTTTAGCCAAGGCTAATTCTTAATGCCTGTCCCTAGTTAGCCTTTATATAAAACACAACACTGCAAAAAGTCCTCTGACAATACAATATAGTACAAAGAAAATATATGTAGTGGTGGTTATAGGGGCTGATGGTGGAGACTGGTAGCTTCGCACCAGTCAGTCTATCCCAGAGCAACTGTCACTACAGAACTGAGTAAATGAATAAATAATGCACAAATTGTATGTAAGACTAATACATTCATATCATTATTACTCTCATAAAATAGGTCAAGTGGAGGAGCTGATATGTGTGATGGCCAGTGTGAATCCGTTGGTCTTCAGACCTTCATCTTTGTGCGAGCAATCCTTCTGTAGCAGGTGGAGCTGCCACTAGGGTGTGAGCACACCCCACCTCTTCAGGGATTCTCTCCATACTGGGCCCAACATGGGAGGATGCTTCTCCAAACCTAAATCAGGCAAATGCTTTCAATGATATCCAGTTTTGTATTTATTATATTGATATCTTGTATTTATATTCTTACATTGTTTTATTATACCTACTATTATATTATGTGTTGCACTCCATGTTGTCCCACTATTTTGTGGCAATCTCTTCATGCTGTAAAGCCTTTTCTCTTACAATCACACTCACCATTATGATTTTCCACTGATTTTAATTAAGACTTGCTCAGCAGGAGAAAATTCCTGCCAGATTTTCTCTGCAAGAAGTAGAAGATCAGCACATTTTTCAGCCAAACAGATAGAGGCCCCTGTTGAAAAGAATTGCACAACCAATTTTAGTAATGAAATAAGTCCAATTAAAGAAGCTCAGTTGTACTTATTTACCACAGGAGTGTATCAACCCCCAAAAAACAGGAGTTTCATTTTTGTTCTAGCATAATAGTCTCCAGAAAGGGATCTTTCTTGTTTGGAATTTTCAATACTCTAAAATGATGTTGAATGTGTTGATGCAGTTGAAGTCAAAGTGGAGCTCTCCCTCCTGGACAAAGAGAAGGAGGTGGATGGATTGTCGCCCAATGGTAAAGCCAGTCCGTTTGCTGAGTGCCGAGCAAATGGCGCTTTGGGACATGGCTCGGACGATGAATCTACTGCTCTGCCCCTGTACCACAAATCAAAGGACTATGTGGAGGCATCAGTTTGTCATGTCAAAGACTTAGAAAATGGACAGTAAGAAGGAATTATCTTTATTAATTTGCATGCCAGAGGTCAGAGGATACATATGAAAGAAAAACATCCATGTTTATTGTCACTTAATATGATGTTATATGATGTTATTATACATCTTTATATATTAATTTATTTTTTTTGTTTAACTCCAGGATGCGGGAAGTGGATTTAGGAAGTGGCAGAGCTTTATTGATCAAAGAACATGGGGAGTTTTCAGCTATGGCCCACAAATGTCCTCATTATGGAGCACCTTTGGTAAAAGGTACTTTATAGTGTGTATTCTTGCACATATATATAAAAGACTTTGCAGTTATGTATCAGTAACTTTATAATCTTAAATTAATTCATCTCTCAAAGGTGTACTCTCAAAAGGACATGTCCGTTGTCCTTGGCATGGTGCATGTTTTAACATTGCTACTGGAGACATTGAAGACTTTCCTGGCCTGGATAGCCTGCCCATTTTTCAGGTAATGCTTCCCACTAGGTCTCTCAGCTTCTGATGAAGTGTCTTATGAACATAAAGTAGTGTGTACACATGGGTCTTGTCTGTCTTTGCTCCAGGTCAGAGTTGAAAAGGACAAGGTGATCATTTGTGCAAACAAACAGGTAAAGGACAATCAGTGGAACAATTTACTAGACACATTAACATCACAATTGCATAATAATTACTGGTTATCTCTTTAATAAATTACAGGCACTCCAGTCACAAAAAAGAACTAAGCCTATGGCACGATGTTCAGCAGTCATAAACTCTAGCACTGGCTTCAGTCATGTGCTCATCATTGGCTCAGGTGAAAAAATATAAAGTTTCATAAATCAACTTTCTTCCATGTTTATTATTATAATTATTATTATTGTTATTATTTTATTTACTGTGGCGTGGACATTGGCAGGTCCAGCAGGTCTGGTGTGTGCCGAGACACTGAGGCAGGAGGGTTTCACCGATCGCATTGTAATGTGCACCATGGACAGACACCCTCCCTACGACAGGCCAAAACTGAGTAAGGTTTGTACACATCCACAATAACAATACTTTGATAGCTCCACTATTATGGGTGCTACGGTGAATCTAAAAATCTAAATGACTGCTTTATTTCAATAAAATAATTATTTATACCTATTGCTTAATATATTTGGTAAAAGAAAAAAAGTAATTTGTGACCCCTCAGTCTCTAGAGTGCACAGCAGAGCAGCTCAGACTGCGCTCCACAGACTTCCTCCAGAACCACGACATTGAACTGTTCACTGAAAAAGAGGTGAGACTTTGAGGCGATCAGACTAATGCATAGTATAAGATGATAAGTTATATTATTTCTATATTTTAAGGTTGTTGCAATAGATGTTAAAACACGAACAGTGACATTTGATGATGGTGTCAGGATGGAGTACAAGAAACTTTTTATTGCTACTGGAAGCAAGTAAGGACTACATATCAATAATAATGTAATAAGTATTGAAAGAATTACATGCAGACTTGTGCTTTTAAGACCCAGACCGATGAATTACAAAGGCAAGGATGTCAAGAATGTGTTTCATCTCAGAACCCCAGAAGATGCAAGTAGTATAGTGAGCCTGGCAAACAACAAGAATGCTGTAATTGTAGGAACATCATTTATTGGTGAGCTTTATTCCATTTGTTCCCCTTGTTTGTGCTCTGTTCTTTGTAATGATCTGTTTTGCATTGCCAGGTATGGAGGTGGCTGCTGCTCTCACTGACAAGGCCCACTCTGTCTCTGTCATTGGGATCGAAACTGTTCCCTTCAAAAAGGCTCTTGGGGAGAAAGTAGGGAAAGCCATAATGAAGGTAAAGACAACCTCGGGCTAAATTATGTTTTTTTTTGTTTGGTTGTTTTTTTTTTATCTAGTAGCAACATCAGCAATATTACATACAGAAAATATCAAACTTTTAAAAACAGATTAACATAATCTTATGCCTTATTTTCTGCTCTTGAAGCTCTTTGAGGCGAACAGAGTGAAGTTCTACATGCTTAACGAGGTGTCAGAGATGATTGGCCATCATGGACAGGTATTCACAATGTGAGAGAAAAAGCATCACCTGTAATGCACAGTATTTTAATATTCTGAAATAGTGAAAGTAAGTGTAAAGTTTACAGTAAGCATATATTGTTGACATTTTGCCATGATATAGTTAAAAGAAGTTGTCCTGAAGAGTGGTAAAGTTTTACGGGCAGACGTGTGTGTCATAGGAACAGGTGAGTACATCATGTGTATTTGTTGATGTGTGATTACATATGTATGTATGTAGTGATGTGTGATTACGTATGTATGTATGTATGTATGTGTGTATGTATGTCTATGTATGTCTGTGTATGTCTGTGTATGTCTGTGTATGTATATGTATCTATTATATGTGGACCTGCAGGATGTGTCCCTGCTACAGCCTTCCTGAAGCAGAGTGGGATCCACCTAGACTCTAAAGGCTTTATCACTGTAAATAAGGTATTTTACAGGCTTAACTTGACTTAAATGAATAGTGCCCATGAATCCTGTTTTCATTGTCTTCCTTTTGTAGATGATGCAAACAAATGTTGACAGTGTTTTCGCTGGAGGAGATGTGGTAATGTTCCCATTCCCTCTGCGGAACAATAAGAAGGTTAACATCCCACACTGGCAAATGGCCCATGTACATGGTATGTGTGTAAATGATTGAATCATGCTGCAATTGAAATTGCAAATCTGTTTTATTCTCATATACAGGACAAGTGGCAGCTCTCGGTATTATGGGAAAACCCTCAGAAATCAAAACAGTGCCTTATTTTTGGTCAGCTATGTATGGAAAGACTATTCGCTATGCAGGTAAGCAGTTGAGGAATGTGAACTAGTCTTATGTCTTACAGTGACTTTGTTAGTGCTGCTGAGCACCCTAATTGCTAGCTGGGGTAACAGCACTGCCATCTAGCGGTGAATGGTGAAATATAATTACTGAAACCCTTGTGTTCTTGTGCAGGTTTTGGTGATGGATTTGATGATGTCATCATACAAGGAGACCTCGATGAACTCAGATTTGTGGCATTTTATACAAAGTATATTTAATTTCTTTTTGCAAAGATGTTATTTTCAATGTAGTATTTCAAAAATTACTAAAGCCTTTAGTTTGTATCTTTTATCCTTTTTAAATCTGTAGGAGTGAGGAAGTGGTTGCTGTTGCCAGCATGAACTATGATCCTATTGTATCTCGAGTGGCTGAGGTCTTAGGATCTGGAAAGACGATTAAGAAACGTGATGTGGAGTAAGTCTCGAGTTAAATCTGGTCATACATATGAACACTGTTATTCTAGGTTGGTTTGTAATGATAATTATTAGAATATTAAACTAAATCACATAGTGTATCATATAATATCTAGAGAGAGCGAGAGAGAGGGAGACAGACAGAGAAACAGAGAGAGAGAGACAGAGAAAGAGAGAGAGACAGAGAGAACTATACTTTATAGTAGCTGTACTTTGCAATGCTGGTTGTCATTTTCCCTTTTTGTATCTCTTTTGTAATTATGCATCACAAGGATGTTAGCACGACTTGGCAAGTATGAACAATGAAATAATATATATTAGTATTTTCTATTTCCAGCATAATTAAATAGATATATACATTTTATATTGTGATTGCCTGACATGTCTTTCAGGACTGGAGACATTTCTTGGTTGATAGATAAAGGCTCTTAATAACTTCATCTCTGATCAACTGAAGTTCCAAAGTGGACCATGGGACACCTCACTTGGATATTTATGGTGCTGAGACACTGAGCGAGCAGCTATCCAGACCTACAAACTAATTCACATACAGCAATGCATGTTCCTGAAAAACTATGAACCAAGAAAATGGATTTGATTCTTTCTCTACATTGTTACAATGCTGTGTTTAGCAGTAAGCTATTGCAGCATGTTGCTTCAAGATGCATCTACCTGAACAATTTGTGTATAAGAAGCCAGAGATGGCCATTGGCATTTTTGTACATATTTTTTTTCTGTGTAAAACATGATAACTGCACTGCAACTAAATAGGGACACACAACATGAGATGGATTTTAATAGAAAACATTCAAAACAGAGCATAGATTTGCATG